CAGCTGATCACCAGCTCTTAGATTGTGAAAAGCTCCCTGATGCTAGAGGGATAACTCTTGGCAATTTGGTATGAGATAGATACCTTCCCGAGCAGGAATTGATTGGAAGACTACAGGCTTTCATTGGATACCTGAATTTGTAGGGTCTATCAATAAAACAACTGTCTGGGGTCCACAATAATTCGACTTTTCGGACTAAGTGCTTTATGGTCTCGGCCTGCCCCTGTTAGATTAGATAAGATAATACTAATACCGTGTCCGTGAGTTTTTTGCTGGCAGGCAGTAATGGGTATAATGGGTGCATTTTCATAGGTAGAAATTCTACATATGTAAATAGACATACGTAACCGATGCATTTATGTAATCTGGTTAAATAAATGACTTAACGTCTTAACGACTTAATAACAATGTACAACATATAGCATATAACATAATATAATGGAGGATCAATAAGCGGTAGAGTACACACTCTTTGCTTAGTAGTCATTTATAAAAATCAACAGGTATTATGAAGACTAACTAAGTAATTAAGTAAGCAGACAACGTTACGTTACAGCTCAGGGGCTAAAAACATGGATTTTGATGAAGATGAAGATATGAAACAAAACAGGTACTTTTACAGACTATGACTGCGCATCAAGTGCGCTTTGACAACGCTATTTAACTTGGTCCCACGTTGCCGCGGCAGATTGTGCTAACAACACACCCGGCTGACGCGGACTTGCCGATGACAATGCTGCTTGTATAACTTGCACTGTGGATGTAACATTGCCCCGATGAACCGACGCTGACACGTTGTTAAATGTGCTGCGGCAAAAGCCCTATTACAACATGGCTCTTGGGTAGATTAATATTGAGCATACGTTGTGACTAAGCCCCCCTGGAATATGGTGATTTGAAATATCAACGGTTTACAGTGTGGCCATAGAACTCCTGAAAGAAAATTCACACCTTTTTCCCGGCAGCAAAAAACCTGGTTTTCCAGGTCATGATTCACAGCTGCCTTTTACTTTTTACTAAGGGTCTGCAGATATTTTCTCGCTGTTAATGCGTTCTCAATTTTGCTGTGACTGCAGAAGACGTTCACAATTTTTCTGTGACAGATTTTCAGGTTTTCCCGGTGAAATTTCAAAATTTCCAATACAATAAATTTACACATGATTTCCGGTTTTACCGGAAGTCCACGGTCTGTGGTAACCCTGGGTTTATTCTTGGCTGTAATTCTATTAACTCTTTATAGATTAACTCATATCACAGAATGATTTTTCGGTTTATCAAATTCTTCCTGCGTATTTAATATATTTCCTTTCTAGCATTAATGTAGAATATTGAGACCATCACTTATACCATGTTTATTGTCGATAATTGTTGAGCAAATTCGGTAATTGGGCGGTTATGTTGGAGAAACACAACAATAAGAATACAGCATGTACCGTAAACCCACAACATCAGACCAAACCATCCATAGCACATTTTACCCCACATATTATCAAAAACTGACCACCTACAACACAATGGTCTTCCACTAAATCCAGAGAAATACAGGAAGGAACTTAACCCTCTAGGTGTTGTATTGACAACCTCCAAATGTCTCGAGTATTTATTCACTAACTTGCCGAGTTTTTATGTAAACTTCCATAAAAACTTTCAAAGAAGACATACACATATAAATATAAGTATATAAATTTTCTTAAAGTACATAAAATAGGCTATCTTTAAATATATCGTATAGTACCCATAACTTACAAGAGTCAATTCATACATGAGTTCAAATCCAGAAGATGAACAAATGTTATTTCTATTTATGAGTAACCAGACATTTGGTAAAAAACTAACAGTCACTAAATAAAAAAAAAATGTTATATACATTTTATTCTGAATTAAATTAGGAAAAAGAATATATATCGTTATATAGTGTTTATTTGAAAAATGATATCTAAACTTTATAAAAACAAAGATATGAATGCCGAAATGGTACTCATGCAAACCATAGATGAAACAAAACAAGCAGAAAAACAAACACAGGAAAAAATACATAGTTCTCAAAACGGCCATCTTTATTGGTTGTGATGAAGCCCAGAATCTGCTGAATACATTGGTATGCATTGTTACCGGGATCGTTTGATAGTACAGGATTATATTGAATGAAACAGAAAGCCTGCAACGTCGCCTAAATTATGGCGATTGACACCTATAATTGCGGCGATTGGCACCTCAAGGGTTAATATAATAAAGCACATTGCTAGATAAAATTGTTATAAAAATAGTACTTGTCACATGCCAGCAAATAATGATAATATAACAAAGTAGTGTATTGCTATGTTGAGTATAACCACCAAATAAACAACTACCTGAAGAAAGATCTGAGTAAACATGGTGTTGAACAGGTTTTTCAAACTTCTAATTGGCTACAGAATGTATCTAAAGGTAAACAGGTAATAAACCTAAAAGTTGATAAATATGAAAATACAGGTGTATACCACAGGGAATTACCACAAAAAATGTCTGATGAGGTATGTTTGCCATTATTTTGTAGAAGGTAACTGTTTTTTTTTTCACTCTATAAAATTTAAAACAACTAGCCGCTATACCAACACTTGCAACAGGGTTAGGATGCGAAAAAAGACAATGTTGGTTCTTTGAAAATGCATGAAAATGGTTTCAAATCATCCATTTAATTTAGAAAAGATAATCAACTGTACCACTTATCTTGATAAGCAACCGTTTTTGGTTAACTCAGAGGGAGAACACTTATTTAGGCTACCTGGGATTGATATAAAAGTGATACCCATGTGTGGGAATAACCCACATCACCGCCAACAATTATAGAATAAGGTAAGAGTCAACCAATCAATCAGCTGATCCGAAGGCAAGCAGACAGCTCTAGTCGGACCGATACTAGCGCTCCGGCAGGAAAACGACCAACCGCCGGCAAGCAGGTTTGTCTTGCATCACCACTCGAAGAAGAAGGAAGGACCGACTTGATCTTTTGTCTACAGTTGGAGAAGTAGCCGTAATGTTTAATTAATTAATTAATCCTTGGGGGACAAAGGGGTTAAGGGGTATCTTGTCTAAATTGGGCAAGTGATGTAACTAAATTAAACTTTACAATTATCAATATTTAACTTAGGGCAAGTTGTTGCAGGCATCTAATAATGGCGAGGGCTAATTAGAATATGAAAATGTAGTTAATCTATTAATTGAAGACCCATCAAAGTTGTTTTACGCTGAGCAGGGTTTTGTGAGAGCCATTGGGAAATGGATCCAGTATGTTTTTAATTAAAATGTGGATCTGGGTGAATTTATTCCAGTCGGGACCCCACAGTTGCACCTATTAAACTATTTTATATAACCTATATGATTTTATATTTAAAAGATACACTTAAGTATTTAAGTGCATATTTGAAAAAAAATCTACCGGTATATTCAAAGTCAATTAATTGTTAAGCTAAACGAATCTTACAACTAAGGGTACTGTAGTTTAAAAAATGTCATTGATTGTTATTATTGTCACATAAAAGAGATACAAATAGCCCAAATAGTTTAAAGTTAGCAAGGCCACTTTACAGTTAGTAAATTAAGTAAATGTCACAGTGAGCATAAAGAAACAAATATTCTAATTTTCACTACAGTACCCAGCTTTAGTTTATGAAACACTTGCAGAGTACCCGTCCTTCGTACTTTTATGCGTATAAGTAAAATGCTTATTGCAGTTATACTTGTGCTTTGTGTTTGCTATGGGAGAGGACACGGTTTAAGAAAATTTGGTTCTTTTAATTTACGGTATGATGTAGTAGCCCTATAGCACCTACCACTGCCCCTAAACAATAAAAATACCCTCGCCGCAGCAAACCTGCAGACTAAGCAAATTTCCAATTGCCTAATTGGATTTACACTAAAATGTCTCCTTAAAAATATCACACTAATTCCCTATTTAAATAGAAGTAGTTTAACGAGTGAGTACTTAGGTTTGCTGTTACAGGTACCTACATATTTTTATTAGTAATGTAGTAATGTCTACCAGTATAATTTACTCGTGTTGCTTAATATTGCGGCCCTTAATAATACGAGTGTAGCCTACCTCAGTATCCAAGTAAGTTCTTAGTTTTTAAGATAACATAAACTAGTGTACCTGTTGCTCGAATTCGAGCAATTGCAAATTATTACACGCGACTCACGAAGATTATGGAAATACTCACGATCTACACAACAGTTAGATATAATCAAAATCTTTTGTAAATATCTTGTTTTTAGTATTTCTACAAATTTTTCCCTCTCATAGCCGCATTAGGTTGTCTATAATAACGATTATAAATGAAAAAAAAAACATTATTTCTTTTCTTCTACTTGGTTGTGTTCTACGACTTTTTCTATGTTTCCATTGTTTGCAAATCAGTTATTTCAATGATTGCTCAAGAAATGTAAAAAGTATCGATATACAAGCAAACTAAAGCAGTTTACTTACTCCATAATAACATAGCAATTTTAAATTTAAATTTTTTGTAAATGTCCTCTGTAACCATTAGGCACCCCAAAAACGCTTCAATATTCTAAGTTATTTGTTTTTAAGCTCTACAACAAATAATTTAGAATATAACTCAAAATCAAATCAGGCAAATAGAAATTTGCTTAGTCTATAGGTTTGCTGCAGCGGGGGTATATTACTAATACCTAGCAATGATTGCCCCTTTCCTTCCATCCTCAGCTCCATTCTGTTACTGGATCATCACAACTCGTATACTAGGTTCCAGTAACACTTGACTAAAGCTTTCTATTTTTTGGGTTTTGCCATTGACTTTTGTCAACAATAATTGTATCTAATTAGGTTATTTTATTTCCTAATGAAAAAATCCAATAACCATCTTTTCTTATTTAATGAGCAATGTTAGGACTAAAGCTGGATAAAAATATACAGTATACTCTTAGACAATGAGCTATGTACGAGTTAAAGCCACATAAAAAAGTATTTTAAAAATGAATTGTAGTTTCAGCATTCTTACCTTTGCGCCTGAGGCAGGTTGGATGTAGCAGGCTTGTCCAGTGACAGGGTCCATCTCAGAGGTCCAGCCCACGGGCAGAGACATGCTCACCACGAACATGTCGTCTGCAACCCCACCCCCATCTACATCTTCCTTCTGCAACAACAAAGAACAACAGATAAAGTTAAATATTTGTTCTGATTTATTATTCATTTTTCTTAACTATGCACCAAAAGGTTGTTATGGAATAAAATAATTCACATTTAAATAACATGGGAATCTAATTTTATGTCTAATCTAATTAAAATGAAGATTCTGATTCTGAATATTCTAATGTTTAAATGTATAGGTAGTGTAAAGTTGTGTGTTTCTGGTGCCATTTTGGATTCTTTCCTACTGGGTAAGCCTGCTATCTTCAAAAAATCTTCCTAGGTAGAGAATTAGTATTTGAAAAGACTTACACTAGTGTTATATGCTCGCCGTGGGGGCTTCCATCTCTTTTCTTTGGTCTGGACATTATAGAAGAACTTGCGTCCATCTTGGGTGTCGTACTCACTCCAGCCTTCGCCCAGAACTCTGGAAGGTGACTGATGTGGCACAGGAGACGGTGGCTCTTGACCCAACTCATGTCTGGACTTATAAGAAAACACCTGAAATCAAATTTATATATTGATTTAGTGTTCTTCCAAAAGGGTGGATCAAAGCACTAGATTTAGTAAAACTTGTAAAACATTATAAAGCATCAAAACTCATGTTTCTAGCACTTTTTCAGGGAGAGGTGGGAAAATGCTTTTAAGCACAATAAAAAACCGCTAGGTACTCTATTGGGCACAGACCTGGGATTGTTTGTTACATTTCTTAAAGTCAGGCCAACACATGGCTTAAGCCCTAGGGCTCCCACCGTTTTTGGCATTTAGTTCTTTTATGATGTAGACACATCTTGGTCAAGGTCAAGCTTCTTGGAACGGAGAATACCCTAAATGAAATGTGACACATAGGTTTCTAGCCCCTGGACTATTTTGTTAAGACAAAAATTGGTTTTACTTCACCTCTGTCAAAATAATCGTTGGACTATTTGACGGTCAAGTAAAACCTATTTTTTTATTATGAAGCATAGACCTACTATTCATGTAAAACTTATGTTTGCTGTTTTAAATCGGGAATTATTTCAGTGTCTGGTCTACTTTTAAACAAATATGACGCCTATGAATAAAGATACATACATACAAACATGGTTATTGCTCTTGGTTAGCTGATCTAAAAGTGGTATTACTTATCTATTAAGTTATCTTTTCAATCAACACTCATGTTTGATCAAAACAAAATATTTAAAAGTAGGCCTAGGTATTAGGATGATCCAAGAAACACTTACCCTTCTCTTTCTAACGAGAGGTATTTTTCGAGCCTTGTGTCCAGCTTTAGACTCACAAATTTTAATCTTTGCTAATTTCACCGAGTCTGTTTCACTGCCACTTGAAACCAAATCTTCTCCGTCTGTTGGCACCAACGAATCAGATGTCGTACCTCCTGATATTTTCCTAAAACTGCCTTCAATGTCAATATCCAATAGACTATCGTTTGAACTTTTTTCTGAGTTGGTTTTTCCGGAAACAGAGACCAGAGATGAAACTTTGCTGTTAGAGTTTGCAGCTGCCAAGTTTGAATGATTATCACTAAATTCACCTTCTACAACAGAGTCTAGACTATAACGTGAAGTTGTTTTTTCCTTAGAATTCACTAAATGGGATAACTGACTGTCGCTTCCAAAGCATTGCCGGTTTTGCAATTTTTTTTCCTGGTATTCGGATTTCTGCAAAACATCATTTACTTTATTGCAAATAACAGTGTTATTGTTGGTTCCAATAGCACAAACCATATCATTTGTATCACACTTCAACACAGGCACACAAGAGCTATGGGAATCACAGTTTTCTTCCACTAAAGTATCAGATACTTTATTGGGTTTCCCCACATTCGAAACAGTTTTTAAAGTTTTCTCACTCATACTTTTTTTTAACATATTCAGTCTATTAGGGCTTGTCTTGAAGCTCCCATGATAATTTAAGCTGTTTTTATCAACATTGAGGTTAGGAGAAATGTTTACTTTACCATTATCAATCGGTTCATTCCAAGATTGTGACCTACACTTAGTTTTTAATCCCTGTTTTACCTTATCTTCTGTACAATTAGAAATTCCTTTTAATAACTCGTCTTCACGACAACTTGAAGAATCGGTTTTGCACGGTATAGCAGAATTAGTGACATTTTTTTCAGGATTGTTTCTTAATATGTTAGTTTTAAATTCTATCTGAAGTGATAAATTTTCAAGAGAATCAGAAGCTGGTAGGCCTAAACCTGAAATTATTGGACGAGAACTCACCCCCAAATCTGTTTTAGTATTGATAGTATTCGTCCATTTAATATCTTCATCATTTTTAATCACTTCACTCACCAAGGTTTCTCCTGTTGTATTACTCGTCATGCTCACATTGCCAGATAAATTTTTATCTAAGGTAGGTGAATTGGCCGTTGCATCATCATGGCTCTTATCAGTTGTTGTGTTGGTGACAGGCTCTATTTTATTTGTGCTTGCAATTGAGTCATTGCTTCTGTGGTGTAGCTTTATTTTATCATTACTTGATATTTCAGGCATTACCTCTTCCTCATGTGTTTGACCTTCCTCACCCAGTGAATTGTATCCCGATGATGACATCGTGCTAGAAAGTGCCTTTGTTTTATTTACATATGGAATTTCTTTCTTAGAATCCTTTTCTAAACATGATTGTGATGAACTTGAGTTACAATCTTCATTCTTATTTCCTGCCGAGCTTGACAAACTGGGCTTTTGAACTGAACTTGATAGTGAAATTACAGGTGACACATTACTGGAAGATATTTCAATGGAAGATTTGGTATTGCTTTGGTCTTTGTTATTGGCTCGGACATGTTGTTTTGATTCCACTTCTTCTACGTAAGATGCAGGTACGAAAAACGGTCTCTCTTCCGAACTGCGTATAACTTGCCACCAATCATCATTTGTTTTTTTGATGAGAAGTAAACGTTCTCCAGAGGAAATTTTGATTTTCCGTCCATATTTTGTGGTGTATTCAAAATCATAAAGAACTCTAAGATTGACATCACAGAAATCCATAACTCTTTTTGATTTTTTCTAAATGTAAACTTTTTATGCACATTTTAGAGACTGCAGAAATGACCGTTGATCAATCTGTAAAATAGATCAAACAAACGCATATAATTAGACATACATAGAGGTAAATGTGGTTAGAGATTCAATTAGTATTAATATACTATTATATATATAAATGTATGAATTTAATTGTATGTAGTCTGTAAATCACTAATAAGGAAAGAATAATAGCCTTATGGTTTATATAAATTCCTCTATTTAAAATTGAGGTTTAGAGACAGCAACTACCTACTAAGAAGTCACAAGTCTTAGAAATTACATTTTCCATCAAGTAAAATACATTCAAAACATATTTATTATGCTAAAAACTGCACATAAGTTCAACTAACTTAAGCCTGTGTGTACAGTTTATGAATAACAAAGTTTTATGAGAAAAGCACAGTAGAATCCTTCTTATCAGGACTCCTCAGGACCGAGGCCAGTCCGGATTTAACAGCTTTTCCGGTTTAACAAACCCCCCTAAACTCTTTAAATTAGTAACGTCTAATCATAGACTAACCAAGACAAGTAGACTTCTCTTCCTATTGTAAAATCTTAAGCTTGTTGCACTAGTATCGAGAAAATTTGGTTGATTTTAAGATTTGAACTTTAATGTTTGGTTTTTATATCTAGGAGACGAGTTATTGCTTATGATTAGATCGTTTTACTGAAATTAACTGAAATAAAGAGAGACAATTGTAAGTAAAAACACAATCTTAGCAGCATTGGACGGAACTAACAATAAAATTGTCTTCAGCTGATAATGATGACAAATCTACAAAGGGAGTTTTGAATACAATGGTCTAATGCACACTATATAAGACAATAAATTATTCCTACAAAAAAAAATAGTAAAACTAGACACACGATTACTCGTCCCAAATCTTTTCCACGAGAAAAGTCTTTCAGTACTACCCACTTTTTGCCAATCCAGTCAGGTTAACCCGATGTCTGGGTAAAAAGTGTCCATATAAGAGGGAGTCTACTGTAACAGCTAGGATAAGCTTAATCTACCACTTCCACATTGATTTCATTAAGTTATGCGACATATTTTATTTGCTATGTTTTATTTTAGGCATATGAATTGCCTACAGTTACGGGTTGGCTAGCATGAGGCCAATTATTCACTTAAGCTTTGAGTAATAGAGGCTCAAATATCCCAACAAAGACTTTTTTGGGGCTGCACTTTAATTCCTTTAATTGGGGCCCCACATTCATTTAATTGAAATTTTTAATTAAAACAATCAATATATCGATTATTTAATTTGATTGCTCAATCCATTATTTTATCAATTTTACTTTATTTTTTGTATTGTTTACTTTTTTGTTATTGTTTATATTGAAGTATTTTTGACAAAAGTTAAGTAGCCTAGCTTATTGTAAAATGAACTAGGCCTACCGTGAAATTTGTCAGCATGTTGGGTGCCTATAAAACCTGTTTCAAATGGATTCAAGAAAAAGGTTCGGTTCCGCAGGCTCCCAAATGTCTAGTGTGGAACGAAAAATTAAGTGAGAATTAGATGTGAGAAACATGACACAGGCCCTAGCTTTCACATGCAAGAAAAGGTCTAAACCAACACGATGTATCCAAAATTGCCCTAAAACGTTTTTTGCAGGAGTACACTTCGGATTAATTTGAGCATATTGACGGTGGTGTATTTTTTTAGTACCGGTATTGATGTCACTAATTACGACTTTCTAATTCGTGAAACAAGCTCAAGAATCATCACACATTAACTTATGGCCTTAAAACATTAAGTTATCTTAAATTTAGACATTTGATGAGCATTTTTATGCCATTTTTATGTATTTTTAGGGCCAGGGTTGCCACCTTAGGTTAGGGAAAAATCGGGACATGGCCCAACTCCACCCGGATTATAGGCTTAAATACCGGCATAAGGAACCAAAAGGAAAAAAAATCGGGACTGTCCCGACAGAATCGGGTGGCAACCCTGATACGATTGTTGTTTTCATGTTTCAAACAGTGTTTCCAGATGTCAAATTTGTATACCGTACCATAAACAGGATTTTCAGACCATGCACAGTAGCCTATGAAAGTGGGATTATATAGGTACTATGATATCTGATCTTTAATTTTCGTCTGCTTTCCGTATGAAAACCAACTATAGCATCATATGGTGAAAAATCTCATTTAAGTAGGTAGGCCTATAAAGTGTAATATGAACCTGTGATGGTAAAATATTTTTAGTAAAATGCATTAAAAAAAACGGAAATGTTCAAGTTTAGGCCTACTCAAGCGGATAAGTTAGATTCTCTTGGCCTGGTGAGCGGGATTGTTGTTTTAGTAAAGTGGAAAGACTGATAGTAAGGTGTGTGGATGACTAACTTAGGGAAGCACATTAAATAGGCCTACAACCAAGTAGCCCTGGTGCTGCACATATTTCTACTTAAGTTTTTGGTTAATAGCAATACCAATTGTAAGTAAACCTTGCCTTTTTTTTACTTACTCCAAGGAATATAATCTGGATAGGCCTATAACTTAAAATACTGAAATAATTATGAATAAGGGATTCTGAATTTCTTTCCCTGTAAGAGGATGAGCCTAAGACCTAGGGCTACATACGATACGATAATGGTCCTCAAAATTTCATTTACTTCACCATTAAAACTAGATCTGATTATATGCAGTTTGACTAACAATATTGCATAAGTATGCCTACCGTACATCAAAACAATCTGGGTATGGTCAGAAAATAAAAGTATTTATTTAGTGTTGTTGAAATGTTAGTGTTGAAGTATTTACAGAAATGAATAATAACGGTTTTATCAAGACTACGGATTTTAAAGCCATAAAAATTTGTAAAGTTACCTGCTTCGAAATTTGTTATGGATCCAAGGGTAAATAATATAAAAAACAAGTCAAACAAACTAATAATGTTATTTTTACAAAAACAAATAACGCAAAATGAATCTTCTGCTAATAATGACAAGAGTGACGTATGTAACACTGTAACTGCTGTTCCTATTATCGTAATGTTGACAGGATTCAGGCAACCTCGAAAATCTGAACATTGAGTATGTAAAATATGTTATACGGCTCTAATGACATATAATGATGTAGTAATAATATTTAGGCGAGATGATTTTCTATATATTTAAAATCCAATGTATGTTTGTTTATTTGTTTATTTGTCCTTTATGGACTCCGAAACCACTCGACAGATTGTAATGAAGTATCAGGCAATATTAAGCATTATTCAAGGATGGGTTGTGTGAAGTTTGGTGCAGATCCGTCAAAAGGCCTCCACCCCAGTGGATATGGAGTTTCCCATGTTAACCTTATGAGTACTCATATTTAAATGGAATTAAAGAATCTTAACAGCTGGTTCGACTAAACAATTTGATTCTGTGATGTTCAATAGCATTAAAAAGTTAATAGGTTTACCAACAGGGTGCAGCACTATTTTTGTATAAATTTATGGCAACCGCTAATTTGCAACCAAAAGGTGAGTGAGAGTAACGAACGAACTTCAACCTGGAGGCAAGTTAGTGTAGCGAACGAGCTAATCTAAAGGCAAGTGAGCGCAGCGAACAAGCTCCAACCTAAAGGTGAGTGAGCGTAGCGAACGAACTTCAATCAGGACGTGATTAAGCCATGCGAACGAACTTCAACCAGGACGTGATTAAGCCATGCGAACGAGCTATCTTGAAAATGAATGAGCATTTTAACATAAAACCACATTAGAACAGGACCACGTCTGTCGGGCCAGCTATAATAATTGTTATTGGTATAAATATTGTAACTGTGTGTAAAAATTAATAAAAAGGTTAAATACCTGTAGTACTGTCAGTGTCAGTGATCCTGGAATTTAGGTCAGCGACCCAGGTTTCGAGCCTAAAGGTTCATTTTCAAGCAGGTACCATAGTTAAAACACATAATCCTCTGTGGAGAGTCGTTATAACACATAAGACACGAACACGAAAACACTAAACATTAAACAAAATAGGCCAATTATAATTATAATACTGGTACGGTAGCGTGCGTGGTGTAGCCGGCAAAAGATGAGTCATGACTAGCCGTGGCCTAAGTGGTAATATCGCCGTGAACACCAAAACTCGTTGTCGTCACCCGCGACCACGGCAAAATTATTGCATGTTAACCAATAAACAAAAACTGATATTTTTACCAATCCTCAATCTTGAGTTTTTTTTATCAGTAAACCGACACACAACCTTAAAAATATGGCTAATTTGAACCCTCATGAGCTCATTTTTCGTCAATATATGGAAAAAAGTAAAAATGTAAGAGCGCCCCTTCCTTGACAAATTTTTGGATCCGCCTCTGCTAATGATTGTTTAAAAACCACGTTAATTTCAGATAGAAATAAAAATAATTTAAGAAAAATATATGTTATAAAAATATAGCTCTAGCTGTCAACAAGGAGCGGAGAGAAGATCAGGTGTAGAATGGCGCGGGCGGCGGCACTCCACTTTAACACACGCCTGTAAATACAATAAACGACTTTCACTTTGAGCAGTCATGCCCGCCGCTCCCATCCCTGAACCTCACCACCGTGTTCATGATGAATATTTCCTTAAAAGTCCGTTTCATTGTATTGGCTAGACCACTTTAGTATGCAAAATAAACATTTTTGTATTGTAAGGTTAAAACAAATTACATAGCAACCTAAATTTTGCCACCCCCGAAACTTACCACCCAGGGCATACGACCCCCCTAGCTGTGGCCCTGGATTGGACTCCAATCATTGGAGCAGTAGAGAGGACCAGATAACTTGGCGAAGATCATTGTTGGTGAGGCTAAAATCACCTCCGATATAATTGGCCCTGGGAGGAGAGTAAGAGTATAAAAGTAAGTATCAATAAATTTACTTTTCTACAAATTAATAGTTTCATACCATACCCATCACGTTCATTGAATGATCAACCATATTTTGTAACTAACCAATAGTCATTATTGTTTCTACACCTATTTATTATTACTCATTAAACAATGTTAAATGCTTATATTTTTTAAAATTTCACTCTTTTTGTCGCCGTTAGAAGAATTTTCGTAAATCTTTTAAAGCAACCGTCGATTTCGACGAATTCACCTAGTTATGCATAATTTTAAAGCTAATAAAAGCAGCTACAACTTTTGTTCAAAACATATTTTCATAAAACGTCAGCAAAAAAAGTTAAGGTGAAATAAATAAAATTATGTGTCCAAAAAAAACATAAATCTTTACATTTTTTACAAATAACGAGAAAACGGTAACTGCTACGACAAAAGTTAACTAAACATGATTGTAGGAAATTTTATAACAAAGACAATAAAATTAATTTCAATTTAATATGTTGTTTAACAATCGAGAAAATGTGATTTACAAAACCCTTACACTTTATATGTTTAGAGGGGCACAGGGGGAAGCAAGGGGGGTAGGGGCGGGGACTTTTGGCTGAACACTTGTCTAAATGGTAGTAGTCAATGGGCAAAAAAATCAGCTTTTTACTATTTTTCCCCTTCAAACGGTGTTTTACGACACATGTTGACTAGGCTATTAGTCCAATCATGCTGGTTTGCGAACTCGTTTGAATAAACGTAGATTTACACGTTTATACCAAATTTCATCAAAATCGGATCATTTTTGCTCGAGTTATCACGCTAACGGACACACACACACACACATACAAATATATATATATATATATGAATTTGAATGGAAGGAAGGTGTTTTTGGCCACTGGGGATCTCAAAACGAAGAAGTAAATCGGCCCCATAATGGCTTATTCCCTATTATAGGAAATTCGCTAAAAAATCAAACTCCATTTTTTGTGGGAATTAGTTTCATCCTATGCCCTAATAATTCTGAGCTCTTAATAATATTATGAAGAATATGGTAGCTTTTGGCCATAATTATTTCTGGGAAAATCTTTAAATACTCCACTTTTTAGTTTCATAGCTATCTCACCAGAGTGCCAGAGTGTTTTTGTTTAAACTTAAGATATTACTTCAATAGTTTGCTAAAGCAAAACAAAACTCATAAATTAAGTTTACCAAATTTAGAAATAGTTAAAACAACTCAAAATTTGAATAAATCAATGAAGAACTGTGTAGTACATCACATTACATACTTTCATGTCTTATTTGTTTTCAAATATTTCCTTGAGTAAAAGTTTAATAAAAAATAATCTGTTCAACAAAACGTTTTTAGTTTTAAGATTGCTTGTCTGTTTTTAATTAGGTAAACATGTGACTCATGATCTATTGAAAAAAGCCTAATTTAATCGTATAAAAGTTTACATGGAAAGATCTTTTGATTGAGTTTGAAAGGCGTGGATAAAATGGGTTAATTCTATTCAAGGTGGGGTATTGATTGTATGGTGCTTGCAGTGCCAGACACAAGGGATACTGTATCAGTATCTGATATACACTAACACTACAACCATGTCCAAGGTGTTTGGTGAGTGAATTAAATTATATTTTGTATCTTTAAAATGCTTAGTTCCAAGTTATACAGATAATATTCAAATTTAACACTATTGATCAGATAAATTTAGATTTCTATCAATGACATTGCCTCTTTTGCAAAATATAGAAGTTTGCACAATCATATTTTTGGTTGAGGTTTCAACAATGGGGTGACCTCTAGTTATTATTATTAGGTCTAAGTAATATAAGACAATAGGTTTTACATACCTACGTCAAATAGTCCAACGCTTAATATTGCTCATCAGCTTACATGTTTCGTTATGAAGACAACATCTTCAAAGCTTGCAACTCGTCAAAAACACAATCAAACGACACAAACATAAAAAACATCAAAATGGTACGAATACACAAAAATTTAGATAGCGCTATCATAATAATACTACTGATTTAATTGAGTACTAATACTACTGGCGCGGCGCGGGGTTGGTAGCAGTAACCTACTAAGTATAGAGGACCCATATACAAACAACAAAAAATTTCATTTTCAAGAGTTGTTAGCCTCCGGATTAAGTTTGAATATTTATAATGGTTTAAGTACCTGCATTCAGTAATCCGAAATGCTGCTTATGGCAACTACAGTTTTCGGTTCTGCTAAGGAACCATCTTCAGGCCATACAAGCAGGTGTCGTCCAGGTTGTTCACCTCCACTGTATGTGAAGGTCTTCATTGAAGATAAAAATACATAAAACACACACGAACACGCACATTGATGGACAAACATTTAACATGTAAAACAACCGAATACTCGGGGGTACGAGACAGATGCAATACGACATGTCTCGTGTCCCCTTGTATGGCCTGAAGATGGTTCCTTAGCAGAACCGAAACTATAGTTGCCACAAGCAGCAATTTGGATTAGGTACTGAATGCAGGTACTTAAAGCATTATAAACAAATTTCAGTAGCGTTCAAAAAGGCAAAAACAAGAATACTATATACCAATTTACCTTTCAATGATTATGTTTGTTTCAGACAGTTAGGAGTATAAATCTACTATTTACAATAATTGAAATTTGTTGATTGTAGATGTAACCTACACACCATAAAGATTTATTTACCTGCCTTCATCAGGTTACAATATTAATACCCCCGCCGCAGCAAACCTGCAGACTAGGCGAATTTCAACTTGTCTGATTACATTTTTACTAAAATATTTCCATAAATAAGACATATTTATTCCCTATTTAAATAACATTAGATTTAACGAGTGCTTAGGTTTGCTGCTACGGGGAAGGTAAAAAGTATTTTTTGACCATACTTCAATAGTATAGGATGAAATAAATAAATTTGCCAAATTTTATCAATAGGCTATATAGGCCTATCCATAACCAAGTAAACTACAACAATTTTCATTTTAAACATCGCATTAATACTAAATTGCGCAGAGCTGTATCAGCATCCCATAAACATGGAAGTAAATGCAACTATTGAATAACTAGGTACCTATATTAACGTCATTTAAACTTTAAAATTAAACTATTTAGATTTGTGTGGTTTTGGTAGACTGTTTGCTCCAATCAATGACTGTGAGCCGATGTAAGATGTTTTCTCTCCAGCCAGTAGACATTATCGTAGATTGAGGGTTCAAATCATGTTTCAGTCTGGTTTACTCAAGTTGGGTAATGTATGTTTTGTTGTTATTGTTGTTTTTATGTAACATAGAAATGTACGTTTTGTCTGTTTCAGATTTTTTTACCATGACTACTAGAATTTTGGATGGACAGTTTTATATCAGTGTGTTAAAACAGAAGCATGGATACATGTAAACTTGATAAAGAGCTGAATAAATTCATATATGATAGTTAACCTTATTATTTTGCAACTGGATTCAATGGAATTTAAACAGCGGCATATCAAAATTTAACTATGCCTTAACAACCAAATTTGCTGGTTTTTGTTTGATCAGAAGGAAACACAACAAAATAAGTCTATTAAGTTTGATAAAAGTTATAGCCCCAATGTTTTATAAATAATAAAATAAAACTAAGATTTTAGGACACAGGAATAAAGTCACACTATTAAAGAAAGTACCAAAGAAGGGTGTAACAAATTTTAAAGTGATCAAACATACAGAATCTTTTCTCCACCTTTCCTGTGGCTTGGGGATTAACTTACACCACTACACTTAAAAATGGTTTATAAGAAAAGAAGTAACTATGAAAATTGTGAAAACTGTTACATCCACTCTGAAAAGAGAACAAGAAAGACGAAGAAGATAAAATCTCCGAGCAATTCAGATCTTTTTCCTTGTAAGTTTAGGGAAAACAACTACTCTACAGAAATACCCAATACAAAGCTAAGTACATCCAGTCTGTATGACGGTTGTGAGTCAAAGAAACGCACCAAACTGCAGACTAAACCCCTCAACAGATCACATCGCAGTTTGTGTTACTCCTCGTACTCTATAAACGATGTGTGCGGAAGATGTGAAACACCATTGCTACGAGGGAGAAAACCAACTTATGAGTAAGCAGGATAACTATTTATAATGCTATAATGTAGGTCAAGAATAGAATAGAAATTCATTTTTTAAACATCCTTGCCACCAAGAATGTTCGAAAATGATAGGTTACTTACATAGGTACCTTGGCCGTCTTCAATCTTATATATAATATTCCGAGGATTACTAGCTTCAGCTCATAAGACCCATTGTCAAATCAATTTTATGTTGGATTTGCCAATAGGTCTTGTGACTTGACACTAATAATCCCAGAAATTTATTGTCAAGGTAAATAATGGTCAGTGTTTCAGCACAACTGAGAAAACAGGTAACATTGACAATATGATTACACGGAAATGCTGACAAGGATTCTGAATTAGGACTATGATTGATTTTAGAAAACATACATATATTCATAAGTGATGAAGTAAATAGCATAATTTATGTGTAAGCAATGTTTTCTGTTCAAAGTACTTAAATCAAAATGACCAAAAATGTAATAGGTCCTTTAAAAATATATTTTGGTTGCAAGTACATGTCATGTCTCGTCTTCTAAAATTTGTCAAATTTAGAATCCTTCATAAACAGTAACTTGGTTTTTCAGTCAACTTTACATTAGGAAGAAATTAGATAAGGTAGAAAAGATAGGTGCAAGGAGTAAAGATAAGGTGAAATGCATAGTGATACTGATAACACAAACTTAACCTGATAAGGCAGTATCATTGCCCCTGTACTAACAGGTGTGTCTTAGTTCACACACAGTGATCAAGATAAAAACTTAACTGTTTATAATGAATGGTAATTCTTCTCACAGCTCTTCCAACATTGACTTATTGAATATCCCTGAAAGTGACCGTCGGATTCTTGAAATTCTAGCATTGAAGAAAGAACAAGAGATTGAAAGTGAGAAAATAGCCTACCAATCTCAGCTGCTTTGGGAGAAATCACAGAATGAAAGAATCAAGGTAGTATTTTACAATCATCTTTTATTTCCATAATTTTTACTATTTTAAAAAGTCATTGACACCTTTATGCAGTTTATATTAATGAATATTTAAAAAATTTAAATTGTAGATTTGGGGATACATGCACATGGGATAGAAGAACTGTGGTGCATTGTAGGTAGTGTTTGCATTTGGCGGATGCATTTTATAGGAAATGTATGTGACATATTTGGGTAGTACATGTCCAATATTTCAGTGGTGCACCATAACTAGATAGTTCAGGTGAAATATTTTTGTGGAGCATTGTCGTTAGTGCGCGTAACATATTTGGGTGGTAAGTTAGAGTTAGTTTAAAAACATTTAACATATAACTAAATCCTTTTTTAGGCTGAAAATGAGCAAAAAGAAAAATGGCGTAAGTATGTTCAACAAAAACAAAAAAGTGATAGTTTGCAAAATTTATTTAGAATGGAGGATATAAAACAAAACCTTAGAGATTCACAAAAGAAACTGGAAGAAAGCATACAAAAACGAGATCAGCACGTGAATTTTCTAAAGAAGAAATGTGAAGAAAAGAAGGTAAGTTTTAAAATTAACAAGGAATGTAACCCGTCTACGCATGGGCAAGTTCTAGAAGTAATTAACTTGTTAAGCTAGGCTAAACTTTGTTTCTAATAAATTGGATTACAAAAAGACAATAGTCTTAAGTTTTTTTAAGTATTCTTTTTTTCAGTCTAGTTGTAAAAGTTAGATAATATCATATACCACTTTGTATTTTATAGGAAAACCACAAGTAAGTGGTTGTTAATTTTTATAATACCTGAAACATATGGAATAGATTGTTCTAAGTAATTTTCCTACAGTCACCCCACAAAGTGGGCTTCCTTGCACTGATTTGAGTACAGAAAGCTGCTAATTGCTGCATTTACTTACTTTGCTGCACACTTTTTACTTTGACGCACACCAGTATTCCAACCAAACAACACAGAAAAGCGTGCTTTTATTATGCACGTAATTTGTGTAGCCTTGGAAATATAGGTTGGCAACACTTAAAGATATTACGACTACAATCAGCTGGTGCAGCGTTTCCCATTTCCTTCAATGTTTGGATTTAACCTAAATTGAAAACGTGTTGTACCTACAGTGTTTGAAAGACTAATTATTTAAATGCTTTATAGTAACTGTAGAAAAAATATAGTGTGTAACGTGAGTGCAAACTGCCTTTGCTGCACTTGAGAAAACATTTCTCTTCAATGTGCAGCGAAGTGCCACTTCACCTACTAGTTACACCAATAACTATAGAAGTTATATTTCAGATTCAGGAATCCTACAGTAAATATTCTTTTGTACATCATCTATTGTAAAAAAAGTGTCCAAAAGCTTTTTTTTAATGTTGGGTATCTTTTTATTTGTAGCGTAATGAATTGAGGGAAAGACAAGTTCACGAGTCCCTGAAAAAAGCAATTATTGATGTAAATTTTAGACAAAAAGAAGATGAAGTAGAAGAATTTTTCCAGAGGCATATTGAAGAATTGGAGGAAAAATTGAACAGAGCCGAATCTCAACGGCGGAGTAGGCAGGAACAAATTCATAGGGTGAGTTTTGGTTCAGTGTCTAATAGCAGGGAACAGGTTTAAGTAAAACATTAAATAACAAAATAAAACAACACTATGTGCATGTATAAAGGTTGGAGAGAAGAAAATTTACCCTTAATATCAAATCAGCAGTTTGCTCAAATAAAATGACAACTTTTGAAGAGTCACTACTGTATTAAGAAAAGTAAGCAAATTTAAAGTAAACTAGTGTACATGTTGCTCGAACTCGAGCAATCACAAACAAGTAAAGGAGTTATTTAAAAACAAATAACTTATTTAAGAACAAATATCTATACTATTATATAAAAATCTAATGGTGTCTGTCTGTATGTGTATTACTAATAGGTGCAAAAACTACTGAACCAACTGGGCTTAAATTTTACAAAAATATAGTTACCATACCAAGGACATAGGACTATTCACATTTCAATACTGACAGTAGGCTTTGCCCCTTTGGCTTTAAAAGTTCTGAGGTGAACATTTTAAAAGTAAATATTGATTGGTCTCCATGACTGTGATGAGAACACTAACAATGTTTGTTTACATTTGATTTGACATTTATATGTAAACAAGAAGAACTGCTAAACTGCATATTTCACAATTTCAGACAGCTGATACAAAGAAATTAAATATAATATTTTCCATAACCATGAGGTAGGTTTATTTTAATCTAACCTTTTATCATGGATTATTTATTCTAAAACTATGTCAATGATTATATAAAAAAATCAACTCCGGCTCTGCTTTGGATTCTTAAAGCGTCTCAGTTATGAAAATAATTTTATTGATATGTTTTCATGGAAACAGTATGAAAATTATAATGTATAGATGTTTTGCATGAATTTGGAGGCTACTTTAAATAAATTCTAACTGCTTAACATGTGTTAGATTAACTTAACATAACTTGCACATCACGTTGTTTTTTATATGTATATTTAGGTATATTAAGTTATTGTGTTTTGCTAAACCTATGCTTAAATTAAACTAAAGAATAACATCAATAACTAAATTGTACGTCATTGATTTTTGTTTTCTAAAATCTGTTGTATATGTGTAACTATATTTAATTATCAGACGGTAATACGAAATACTCTTATTTTATCTTAACATAGCTTTCAGTTCACATTTACTTTATTTGATACATTTATTATTTGTGTTTTGCCACACCACTGATTAAATTAAACCAAGGAAAATATCATAAAACTGAGCAGTACGCAGTGTCCTTTTGTTTCTAAAATCAATGAAATATCTGTTACTATGTTTACTTAATGGTAAATGTGAAAATGTAAAGGCAATGGACGATGGAACTGATTAAAAGAACTGGTTTGTATATTAAGTTGTTTGTTGATATTTTTGTAGAGTAGAATCAGAGATGCAATGAAACATACTGTATTTGCTATTACATTTTTTAGTCCTTGATGCTTTGATAATCATATTAGTTTTGTCTGCTGTCTTTAATGCTAAATTATTTGTTTAACATTTTTTATAGTACCTATAGATATAGTTTCTTTAATATTTCAAAAGACTGTTTTGATAAGGATATGTCAAAGTTTTATTCAAAAATTTGGTCAGTTTTTCTCATATCAGCCTACACAAGATTTAAAATTAATCAAAACCAAAATGGTGGTATCTACTACTTACCAGATTTAAAAGTCATAATTTAAACGTTTCTATTAAGGCTATAACAGTTGAATTTTGTTTCTAAAAGCGTTGGCGGATGTGTAACTATTATATGCAACAGATGTAAAGATTAAAATGTTTCTATTTTGTTTCCTCTTCCCTTGCAAAGCACGGGTACAATAGCTAGTAAGTTATAAATTCCAATGAGTTTAAAAGAGTCAACTCAAAAATTACGTAACTAATGATAATACTCACAATGTACTTAACGGTTATAATCAACATTTCTTGTAAATATTTTATCATTTTTCAAAAGCTGATCTGGCTTTTAGTGTATTGTACAAATGTTTCCCACTTATAGCCGCAATAGCCATGTTGGTCTTTGTCAATGATAATGTATACAGGGTGATTGATATAAGTGTGCCAGCCGTTTTATTCGAAAACTATAAGAGATATCAAAAAAAGTCAAATGGTAAGTGCCTTGGATTTTTTATTTAAAAAATTATAGTAAAGTCAAAAAAATTATTTTAGCCGCCATTTTTCCAATATGGCCACCATTTTTGATTTTTCTTACGGAATACCCTGTATTTTATGATGTATTCTGGTAGAAAAAGTAATTTTAAGACGATTTTATTCTTGTAATTTTTTTCATAAACCTAACCGTTTTAAAGATAATAATGGTTAAAGTTTTGAAATTTCTGCATGAGAAAGAGTTTCGAAGCAAGCATGCCAGCTGTTTAGCTCGAAAACCATTCAAAATTTCACAACTTAAACCATTATTATCTTTGAAACGGTTAGGTTTATGAAAAAAATCATAAGAATAAAATTGTCTTAAAATTACCTTTTCTACCAGAATACATCATAAAATACAGGGTGTTCCGTAAGAAAAATCAAAGTTGGCGGCCATATTGGAAAAATGGCGGCTAAAACAATTTTTTTGACTTGACTATAATTTTTTTAATAAAAAATCCAAGGCACTTACCATTTAACTCTTTTTGATATCTCTTATAGTTTTCGAATAAAACGGCTGGCACACTTATATCAATCACCCTGTATAGTCTGCATGGTATCACCCATTGTCGCCAGTACGTTTACAAATTTCAGTCTTTATTTTAATAGCACCAAATAACCATTATCTACCTGATTTTCTGCATAACCTCTCTGTCACAATCTTACAATTAACATATGTTCTTCTTCTCACTTTAAATTTCTGACAACAGCTGGAGTTTCATAACAATGTTTGTTTTCCATGATAATCTTATGTAGAAATACGAAACTTTAAATGGCCCAAGGGCCTCACTCTCTAATTATTTCCCTAAAAAGAAAGTTTCCTGCACAACTTTTATGCTCTTTCCAATGACACCAAAAACATGTCAATCGGTTCAGTAGTTTCGGAGGAGTAATTGCCACCAAAAACCTGCTTGCATATTAAATAAGTACGAGAGGTCGTCCAGTGGTCGAAACTCGACCAAAAATATGTAATGTACAGACTTCTCTATTTTCTCCCCACACTGTAAATAAAACATGTGATTTGAGTTTCTTCCATTTGTTTTGATTTTCTGTTTACATTTCGTTGTTATTTCGTAACCAGCATGGCAACCCATAAAATCCATGTTAATTTTTTCAAATTTTTAAACTAATTTTTTGTGCTTATCTTTGAGCCTATTTTAATTTATAAAGGGATTGTGCACACCTACAGGAAAATAGCTTTCTAACGGTATGCGTAGATTTTCCCTACGATGCACACGAGCTGAGAAAAAAGGTTTTAAAGAAACATGCTTGCCTATTAATATATAGATAGATAGATGTCAACGTTTTTTTGTTGCCATGGAAACCAATCAGTTAAACAATTAATTCTCATACAAGTGTACAGTACACAGTAATTTTAGTACAGTTAACTTGAGGAGCAGGAGACTGTAACAAACCACCCCATCAATGTGGACCAGGTGTAGCAATCTTTCCAAGAAGAGTGTGAGAGCAACTCTCAGAGTGTGTTTCAGTCTACAGTATAAGTTAATTTTCTGCCCTGGATATTATTACCATTTGAGATGGGGACGTCCCCTATGTGTGTATTTTAATGCAAATATATGAGTGAAGGATGATTGTAGAATGGTGTGTGATGCCTCCTGTAGCTTTGCTACTGACTAAGACCAGCTGTTTCATTAGTCAGGACCATTTATTGGAATCCCAATGACCATGGACAGTATGTCCACTAATGTAGTTTGTGTGGGGGAGCGAGCTGGCGTAGTGGTTAGAGCGCGGGACTTCAGTCCCTGAGGTCCCGGGTTCGATCCCCGCCAAGTCACCAATGGATTTATCTAAGTGATAATGCCGCAACCCCTAGGTCTAGCCTGAAGTAATGTGAAAAACAATCCCAGGCTTGTGCCTAGCGTCCTAGGACAAAAAAAAAAAAAAAAAAAAAAAAAATGTAGTTTGTGTGACAAAAGATGTTTCATATCTTAAAACCAAAATAAATAAGCTGACATTTTAGTTTGGCTTGGTTAAAAAGTTGCATTCAACGTTAACTTTGACCTTTACAACTATAGATTCCATCCTTAGCTTAAATTTGTCGCCATTTTTTTTATCATAGTTGAAGTGAGCCACCGACAGAGTGTGTTCATGTAAATACTGATCTACATCTAATACACAAACTTTGTACCGAGTCAAACTGATGGAACGACTGATTGTGAGCTATAGCAACTGTTATGACGTATCAACTGTCATCAATGAGGTAGAAAATACTCGTATATACAAAAATATGAATATATAAATTTAAATTTCTAGTTCTATCCATTGTCAAAGATAGTACATTTGAAGGCTGAGGGGCACAGCTATAGTCAATGGTAAAATTGTAAATGGCAGTTTAAACCTTCCCAGACAGAACAATTAAAAGTTTCTTGGCGATTGGATATGATTGGGTAGCTTATGAAGAACAACATACAACGAGCTCAATTTTTCACAGAGAGTAGCGAGTGCCAACAGAAGTGAGGATGTGAGACATCAAGAGAACATGTTGGACTTGCTGGCCGAACAGTCATTGACACAACATCAGAAACAACGGCAATGTCGGGAGAGAGAGTCTAGAGCAAGAGAGAGACACATCGAGATCCGACAGAGGAGAGAGAGAAGCCTAAAACAAATGAGGTTAGTCATGTGACTGGTCTGCTTGATATTTTGTTTATTTCAATTTGTGTTTTCTTTGTGATGTGTATTTTGTCATTGACACTATAATAAATATTTTTTTGTTTGAATTTTTTTCAAAAGTTGGAGTTGATTGTGTACAACTTATATTGGTGATATTGGCAAATTAATGTTATATAATACTAAATTTTAAGGTACAAAAGGATAAGATACAGTAGAACCTCTTTAATCCGAACTAATTGGGACCAGGGGTAGTTCGGACTATTGAATAGTTCGGATTACAGAACATATTGTTGTTTTACATAGCAATTGTTAGGGAAAAGTAAAAAATACTTTATAAGGTGAAATACAGTGTTTATTTAATACAGTACCGGTAGTAAACATAGGGAATAAACAGTACGGTACATTACAATAGAAACAATTACACTGTGTATACCAAAAAATACAGTATCCAATGAAGAACTACTGTTCTGTGTATAGAGTACAGCAATGAGGCGTTCGGATTACGGGGGTTCGGATTAAAGAGGTTCTACTGTATAATAATTTTTTATTTAAACAAGCGCTTTCAAAAACTCAGTTTTGAAAATGTACAAAAAGTAAATGTTTACTTAAGAGGGTTCTAACCGGTCAAGATGGGGGCTAAACATGCTAATGTTCCTGAACATGCCTCTACGGTACAAGCTCTCAACATTCTAAAACTAATTTGTTTCCAATAATTATTGTGTGCTTGTTGTGCTCTTAACACACCAGAGCTTGCAGTGGGTGGAGCAAAAATTATAATTTTTAACTATTATTTAGAAGTTAAAATCGCATGTAAAAAAGACTAATTTATGGAATTTCAAAATGATTTTGTAAATACTTGAAGAAACAATTACAAAGTTTCAGTTCAGTCAGTGCATAGTTTAGATCTTTGTGAATATTTTATAGTTCATTTCAACTTGATAAACACTAATAATGCCAGGAGGTTCTTTTTGTAGGACCATGTTTCCGTGGTAAACAACTGGCCGGTGGAACCCTCTTAGTGATAAATTAATTTTAAATAAAGTTAAAATAGATTAAACCCAGACTATGTATCTCCATAAATACCCAGCGATACGGGGGATATTGAAAATACATCCATGGGATATCTTTACGTGGATATCCACGTCAGGATATGTTTGGATATCCTATCGATATTCGAATATGGTTCAATTTTTGGTAATAAAGCTCCATTAGATATCCAACAGATGTCCAACGTCGATATCTACGCTCTGGATGTTTGTGGATATGTTGTGGATGATTGTGTGATTGCATAGCCTAATCCTGTACAGAACATCACATTGTAACACAATGAAATCTTGTAAATAACAATTTCGCTATAGGTTGGTGTCGAAAAAAAAATCATAATACATGCCAACTCATGTAGTTCACTCATTAAAAAAGACTAGTGCACCTGTTGCTCGAATTCGAGCAATTGCAAAGTATTACAGGCGTTATTTCAAATAGAATGCCAGTCATAATTGCCGATGACTTAAAAGAGTCAACTCAAAGGTAATGTAATCAATCACTCTAATTATTGAAACTGAATACGAACTCACTCTGAAAACAAACACTGTTGTGTGTATCATGTGTTTACTATGAACAGCTGTAATTAATACAAATTAGTCGTCTTAAGTAAACAAAATATTTTCTTCGTAAGAAATACATTGGGATTTTGATGGCCTGTGGGACAAAGCCCGATGACTTTTACCACAGGAATTTGTGAAAGGGGGCGTCTACACAAAAAATACTTAATTTTGACACATAGTTTGTAAAAATCAGTTTATTATTAACGGAGGAGTAGTGTTTCGTAGAAATCGCCTTCACGTATCTATCTATACTAGTGCATTTGTTGCTCGAATTCGAGCAATTGCAAAGTATTACAGGCATTATTTCAAAACTATTAACAATCACAATTTCCGATTACCGGTACTTAAAAGAGTCAACTCAAAGATAATGTAATCAATCACTCCACTCCAGTTATCGAAACTGGAAACGAACTCACTCTGAAAACGAACGCTCACTCCACTCCAGTTATCGAAACTGAAAACGAACTCATTCTGAAAACGAAAGCTCTTGTGCGTATCAATGGTTTACTATGAACAGCTGTAATTAATACAAATTATTTGTCTGTTTAAGTAAACAAAATCTTTTCTTCATAAGAAATACATTGAGATTTTGATGACCTGTGGGGCAAAGCCCGAGGACTTTTATTACAGGATATGGTGAAAAGGGGTGTCTACACAAAAAATACTTAATTTTGACACATCGTTTGTAAAAATCCATCCATTATTAACAGAGGAGTAGTGTTTCGTAGAAATCGCCTTCACGTATTATATATACCTAAGGATTGTTGAACTTCATCTACTGGCTTAAACAGCTGATTTCAGTTTTAAACTGTACAGGAAATCAGCTGTTTAAGCAAAAAGGCGTAGCAGAGTAGCCTAGTTCTTTCTATTCTATAATAATGTTTTCTGTTTTGAGTTGCTATAAGTGTGGCATTTTTTTCATGGCAATTTTGGTGGGTCTCAGGAAATTACCAAACGTAAATATATTTTTTTTTTACCGGAACGGTCTAGTGAGCACCAGAATAATACAGAACGGACAAGGGGCACAGGTGTACAAAAAATAATCTTTTCAGAATATTTACAGTTTAACGAGACTGATGTGTCTTTTAGCCTAAAACTAGGAATCTCAAACACTAATTGATTGGTTTATTGTTTGGTAAACTTGTATTCCCAATTTTTATAGGTGGATTAGAATATTTTATTGAGACCTTTGTTCGTGATAACGCTCTAATATTGTGATCATTAAACATTTCTTTAAGGTTTTCGTGACCTATAATTTAAAATATTGCCAAAATAGGCAAAGGGCAAACCAAGCCCATTCGTTTTTGAACTAATCTTAACAACATGGAGATGATCATGATTTCGTAGTGACTGTGATAGTTGGAGATTATGAAATTTAGTTAGGATGGATTTGTGGTATTTGCACGATACAATAAATTTACTTAACATCTGAAAACATATAAAAACGTATTTTTATAACCCGAGCTTTTTAAACTAGATTTTTGTAGTAAATCAATAGGAATAAGGCATAATTCAAAATTGATAACAATTAACTTCCTGTTAAACATTTCTGACAGTATTTGATCTATAAGCGGTTTCTGACATCACAAATAAAGGATTTTTTACAAAGAGTTAATCAAGAAAGCGTAGCTATTAAGGCAGATTCTTTTATTATCACTATATTTTGTAAATACTAGATATTAGAAATTGTTTATTTGAGCCTCGGTGGAAGTTGGCTATATTTATATTACTGTAGTGCTATATACACAAAATTCCACAGACCCGTACTTTGGGATCGAAAGAAAATTGAACATATTTTATGGCATTATTGTTTGGCTTCTAACTGCATTATAAGACAAAAAATTGAATGAATTATAGCTAAACATCTTCAAAAAGCGCCTGGAGAGGAGCACCATAAAAGTAAATTGTATCAATTCAGTAGTATTGTGAACGGAACCTCCTTAAAAATAAAAATATAGAAATAGGATGTGTTTGGAAAATTCCCAACACATACAGTAGTTGTCAGCATTCAATGCACACAAAGCCTCTCATAAATAGTAGGCTAAAGATCAGTAAATAATTACAAGTTTTTGAAACAATAATGTTTTGGACTAGAAGTTGTATTTTCAATATCACCATCCTTGCAATTGTAATTATGTTGTGTGTGTACATGCTAATATTAATGATTTTTTTTTAATAAATAAAGCCTATTATTATTATCAATGTTATTATGCAATACATGGGTCATGAAAAGTAATTCCAAGGTGGTGGTGCAGGGCATAAAATAACATGTGCTGAGATTTTGTCGCCCAGTGACTATGGGTGGTGCCGGCATATTTTTTTATGATTCACATTTTAAATGTATCGGAATTTAAAAAATAACGTTATGTAAATATTTTAGAGTATTGACCTATGATTTTGGCCCAAGAGGTTTTGAAGGGAGCCTTGGCCTGTTACAACATTCTAGAATACGTAATTAAGTGAGATTATATGGACTATATTTACAAGCAAATATAATTGAAAAATTCATTAAAAGATACGTAGAAATGTGTGATTTTCACTTTAACTTATGCAAAAATTTCCGGACCCCCTTTTTGATGGGGGGTACTCCACCCCCCAGCAAGTCCAGCGCCACTGTCGCCCAGTGGAAATCCCTTAAAACATGCTCTGTGTGGTGGGTCTCTAGACCAAAAAGTTTGTGAACCGCTGCTTTATATCATCTGTTTTAATTTGATTTAAAATTTGTTTATTATTAAGCAAATATTTGCTGTTTGTATAAGTTTTCAACACAGCCTGAAGATGAGAACATAGTTTTCAAAAGCGCTTGTGTAATTAAAAATTGTTAGGCAATACGTTGGCCTTTTGTACCTTACCTGGCCCCTTTGTACGCGCAGCAGTGCTGCGGTTAGCATATGTTCCGGCACCCACTACTAGGAGTGTCGTGTAGTTACGGCGCACACCGCTGCAGCGTCAGCATACGGCTCCTGCGCTCCTTGCCTGCAGCGGTGTGCACCGTAACTACACGGCACTCCTAGCGGTGCGCCGGAAGCTTCCTTTGACAGTCTATATTTATTCTATTTGTCTATGGTATTACGTTACATTAAATGCTGTAATTAATGTTGGAGTGTCATAAGTCATAAGACTTCTGTATCTTGCCGATCACCAAGACCTAATGGTTCAGAGCCCACCTCACATTGTACGTCTAGGAAACAATAAGTTAAGTCTTGGGGACAAGAACAACATTCTCATGCAGAAGTAGAACTCCCGTCTCTAAAAGCCATATGAAAATTCATACTACAATCTTAACATTTCTAATTTATTTAGGAGTTATTAAAATAAACTCGCCTAATGTTGAGCTCACTTTGCTTCTTCTCTTCCTCATCTTTTCAAACTTTTGTACATGTAACTTTGAAGCTATGGGTTATTGAACCTGCTTACAATGGGCTTATAGTGTTTAAAAGGAAAAATAAATAAAAGAAACTGTTATACACAGGGCAGAACAAGAGGAAAGGGCAGCCATTGTGAGAGAGATGCACCGGGAATTGGAGAGGGGACTAGAGGCTTGGCAAGATCAGGTAGGGCATAGATGATGCTGCATAAACTGCTGTTTTTGTCTTCACAATTATCATAATTATTTGTCCAAAACACAGATAATTCTTGCAATCACCTAACAATTTATAGGTTAGGCCTATAAGAACAAGCAAACTTGGGTTGTATTTAAGACGTAGACAATACTGTAACACTGTGTCAGTTCATCTGAAAGTATATACCAACCATCTATCTATCTATATCATTAATACGCTACATGAAACTTTGTGAACAACAAGGTTTTTTTGTTTTAAGATTTAACCTCATATGTTATATACCAAAATGTTCGTCTAGGTGTGTAGATTTGCAAACTGACCTTCCATTTTTGAAAAAGTCCCTTGGGCTCTGTCCCACTGGCTTTTAAAGTTCCCATGTTATCCTTATGAAGAACATATTTGTTTGCATTATGATCAGCTGGATAATTTAATTGCTGTTATTTTAGTTGCAATTTAAGTAAACGTTTGCTACAAACATTTACTGACTTGGTTGAAATGAAATATTTACTATTCGAATTTGGGTTGGCGTAAATATTATAATGGAAAAAAGTGAGAAAGCCTGGACAATTTGATATAATAAATAAATACCCCCGCCGCAGCAAACCTGCCGACTAAGCGAATTTCCATTTGTCGGAATTGATTTTCAATTAAATCTATTTGAATAACATTAGGTGAGTCCCTAGGTTTGCTGCTACAAGGAAACTGTTAAAGTGGGGTTTTTAGTAAAATATTAATGGCTTAGTATAAAATAAATAAATTTGCCAAGTTTTATCAAAATATATCCATAAACAAGCAAACTACAACATTTTACAATATTCTCTATAAGAATAACATGGGAATTTTAAAATAACAATTTTTGAATTTTCTCCATAACCAATAATTATTGTACAAAAACACTTTGATATACTAAATTATTTGTTTTTTTTAAGCTCTTTAAAAAGGTCTAGAGATAAATTAAATTGGGATATTTTGTGTTTTGAGGGTCAAAAATGAGAAAAACCATTTTTTACCCCATAAAACACCCTGTAAAACCCCGTTCCCATGGTCCGATCATGCTGGTTCGCTAACTCATTCAAGTTTATCCCGCCTTACACCTTTCAACCACATTTCATCAAAATCAGACAAAAATTACTCAAGTTATTGCGTTCACGGACACATATATATATAAATATATACATATATAAAAATTTGAGCGAATGGTGTTTTTGGCCTCTGGGGACATCAAAATGAAAAAGTAAATCGGTCCCGGGCCTAGGTCTTACCGTGCCACCTACGGTAATAGCTACTTCCCTATAGGGAAATTCGCTAAAAGGAAAATCAAAACTGTGCTGCATTTCATGATCAATCATTGAAAGAGCCAATTTTGCAAACTATGGAAACATAGGAAAGTCATAGAACACCACCAAGTAGAAGAAATAGAAATAATGTTTTTTTTATATATTTATAATCGTTATTATGGACAACCTAATGCGGCCATGAGTGGGAAACATTCATAGAAAACACTAAAAAACAAGATCAGCTTTTGAAAAATGATAAGATATTTACAAGAAATGTTGATTATATCGAACTGTTATGTACATCGTGAGTATTTCTATAATCTTTGAGTCGACTCTTTTAAAGTATTCGGTAATTATGTTGTTATTCGTTTAAAAATAACGCCTGTAATACTTCACAATTGCTCGAAATTGAGCAACAGGTACACTAGTATTTTTATAATCCCAGTGTTGCCAATTTGTGTCAACACAAACACCTGTTCGTTGTGTTTTGGAGAAGTGCAAAGTGATATTTTCCATATTACATTTAGTGCAAAAGTAGTAGCTTAAGCTGTAGGATAAGTTCAAGGTCAAATTATAAAGTGGCAGGATGAGCTATAGAAAATCCTTCCCTAACCACCATTGCTTGATATATTTTTTATATCCATCTCAAAACTTTCTTAGAAACCTCAATCATACGTAGAGTAAGGGAAAAGTCCCTCCCACACGTCCCTGCACACCATCCTCGTTGATATGACCTTTAACTGTATGCAACTGTCGCAACTATACAGACTACTAAGCTACAATCAAGGATTTAGTAAAGGTGATATGGGAAATGTTCAGCTACACATTTGTGTTGTAGGTGATGTTGCTACAGTGGGCAGACCATCAGCGAGCGGAGGCAGTGGTCCAATCACAGAAGGATGATCGCAAAATGAAGGTCGAAGTGGAAAACAAAGAGAGACAAATACTTCACCAACAACGGTTAAAAAAGTAAGTGGATGTACCCATGTTAATAAATTTCAACCCAATCCGACCAGAACTTCAAACAAACAAACATTCATATTTATTAGTATGATGGTACTGTAATATATATATATATAGATCAGATATATATATATATATATGTATATAGATCAGATAAATTAATGCTGATGCTTGATGGCAAATTCATGCGTGTATACTTTTAATTTCAGATCAAAATTATGAAAATCGGTCGTGTAGAAGAGTCCATGTCTCGGTATGTTTATTTCGATTGTAAAGCAATATAAAGGAAACTTCATGATGGTTGGCCACTGGATCGTTAAAATTAGCACTAATAAGGTTTATATTACCTGGCTTCTGACTCAGAAAAGGAAAAACAACCTTTTTTAATATAAATCAGACAGATGTGGTACAATCTGAAACAGCTTAATAAATCTAAACCATGTTTTGGCTTGAAAGTGTGGAAGTTAGGGCTGTTGTGTACTACTAGCCGTTCAAAAAACTGTCTCTTGACATCAGCACACACTTGCTCACAGATTCTATATGTCGTTGATTAGCATGTGTGCTTGTAGTAGTATTGCCACATTAGTGTATTTGTAAATTAGTTAAAGTATTCTTTTAAAGTTCATACATTTTTGTTTACAATGTACATTACTGAGTATTTTTGTTTTTTAGAGTGAGAGAAGCAGAACAGAAGAGACAGCAGAGTGTACGACAAGAAATAACTGCTAAAGAGGAAAAGATTAGATCTCTTCAGAGACAAAGAGAAAGAGAGTTACTAGAAGGCAGAGCGCAGGCTCAGATGACTGCAGAACTCAGAGAACACCTCAGGTAAGGCTCAGATGACTGCAGAACCCAGAGAACACCTCAGGTAAGGCTCAGATGACTGCAGAACCCAGAGAACACCTCAGGTAAGGCTCAGATGACTGCAGAACCCAGAGAACACCCCAGGTAAGGCTCAGATGACTGCAGAACCCAGAGAACACCTCAGGTAAGGCTTAGATGACTGCAGAGCCCAGAGAACACCTCAGGTAAGGCTCAGATGACTGCATAACCCAGAGAACACCTCAGGTAAGGCTCAGATGACTGCAGAACTCAGAGAACACCTCAGGTAAGGCGCAGATGACTGCAGAACTCAGAGAACACCTCAAGTAAGGCTCAGATGACTGCAGAACCCAGAGAACACCTCAGGTAAGGCTCAGATTGTTGATAAACTCAAGAGAACACTTTGTGTAAGGCTCTAAATACCGTAGAACTCCAATACCATCCCTTTAGCAGCATTTTAGGTAAGGTTTTAGGTGACTGCACACTCTGATACATAATAAAAAAGCACAGTTTAAATTTGGACACTTTGAGTGTATATTTTTACAATACACATTATTTGATAGTTAAGTGTTCAGGGTATATTTACTGTGTGGTTGTGTTTTGTTTATTGTTAAATCCTTAAGAAATTATTATTCTTATTAGCATTCAATTTTGTTGGTCAGTGTTTTTGTGCTCAAGTTTATTTGGTCATTACACAATCAAAACATCGAATGAAGCTAGAATATGCACTCAGTACTTTACTACGGTAAATGTCAACAGATATGAGGAACATCAGTTTGATCCATATTGAATTTTTTACAGACAAACACTGTCCCCGGAGACATTTGACAGGAAGGTAGCTCGTGCAGCTCTAGAGACCCGCATGTCCAACCGTCCGATATCTGTGAGTCCCTCACTGCTGTCTTCTCACATACACCTTGGCTAGACAACAACCGCCATCATTAGGGATAGAGTTCAGACCAGAGTATATACAGCACTTCTTCGGAGAAGATTGAAATGAAATATCAGTTTAAACTTTTCAATTGGTGTAACCTCCAGTGTTACCAACTTTGAACACTAAAAAAAGGTCTAGTCGCAGATATTATTCTAGGCTTGATACTGTATATACAAACAAACCAAAAATAAGTTTTCCATAATTGCACTAATACTTAAAGATTTGTTTTAAAAGCTACCTGAGAGGGGAGGTTGGGGTTATTATCTTTGAGTACCGGGGGACCGAGCCATGTCTCGGTATGTTTATTTTGATTGTAAAGCAATATAAAGGAAACTTCATGATGGTTGGACACTGGATCGTTAAAATTAGCACTATAAGGTTTATATTACCTGGCTTCTGTCTCCGATCCTCGGCAGTTTTAAGAAACTACAGCTGTTTCATGCCTTACATTGGCACATCCTCAGGTTTGGTGAACGCCAGCTTTTCTATAAAATATCCCTCGGAGATGAGTTTGTCATGGTTTTACGGAAAACATGTAGACATTTACACACACGAAACATTTAAACACTAATAATTAAGAAACGACTGCGAAACGTGATGCGGCGCCGGTGATGGATAAGTCGCGTCTTCATGAGTCGCGACTTATCCATCACCGGCACCGCATCTTGTTTCGCAGTCGTTACTTAATTATTAGTGTTTAAATGTTTCGTGCGTGTTTTCGTGTGTGTAAATGTCTACATGTTTTTCGTAAAACCATGACGAACTCATCTCCGAGGGATATTTTATAGAAAAGCTGGCGTTCACCAAACCTGAGGATGTGCCAATGTAAGGCATGAAACAGCTGTAGTTTCTTAAAACTACCGAGGATCGGAGACAGAAGCCAGGTAATATAAACCTTATTAGTGCTAAAGGAAACTAACGTTTTCTTTATAACTAATTTTGTCTTTTATTATTAAGGTTTTAGTGGAATTTAAATTTATCATGATGGAAATTTTAACTTGGCAATCCAACAAATTTATTTATTTCAATCTCACACATTTATTACGTTGTAAATAAATAAAACAAATGTTGAAAAAAGTTGTTTTTTATTTTAGTTCCTATTGTAGCAATTAATATACAATCATGGGTATACAGTAGCAATCAGCTACAATAGCATTAATACAGCAAAGGGGTGTGATTCATTTCTTGGTACTAAATTATTTTTGCTTTGGTATTAACGAATTGGTCTAATTATCAGGATAGTACAGCGGATAGTCGTTGTACTAACTAGTGCGGACGTTAATCCACACCAGGGAGTGTCGCATCCTCAGTCAATATGGTCCGTAGTCAATATGGTAAAACAAAAACTCCGTGATGCGCCCGATGGAAGGTTAACATTTATGTTTGTAGTCTTGTTACATTTATATATTTATATAAATGTTATATAATAAAACACATTTCTAAAATATGATTTTACAACAATTTTTCCAACTTAACATCTTTGTATCTAGTTTTTAAAAGTATTTTTCTTCATCCTGCACCACTTTTATTGTCCTGCAGCCTGTTACTTAAGTGCCTAAGTTTAATTTTCAAAGTTATTGACTGAAACAAAACTATAATAACTATTACCTTACCTCCTTGGCCACTGACACCTCAGAAGGTTTTTGGCCTCGCCAACGATGCTTCTCCACTCTTCTCTATTCTCCGCTGCCTCAGTAGTGCCCAACACAGCCACATCCTTCAGCACCTGACTCCTCCATCGCAGACTCGGCTTGTCGAGTGGTCTTCTGCCTTCTGGTTTGTTCTGGTCCACGGCTTTTACTAATGATAAGTTCTCTCTCCTCCACACATGTCCAGCCCATCTCAATCCCCTGCTTGTTATCCTTGCTACTACATCTGGATGGTGATACACATCTGTCAATTCTCTTTTCTTCTTAATTCTCCAGCCTTCTTCATCTTGAATCTGTCCATATATTTTCTCAGAATCTTGTTTTCAAAAATAATAAGTTTCTTTCACCATTCTTTTGTTAGCGCCCATATTTCCGATCCATATAGTAGTACTGGAAGAATAATCGAGTAGTTGATTTTTATTTTGGTATTTTTTTACAGAGTTTTTGACTTAAACAAATTGACTAGGGACCAGTAGGTTGCTCAAACTACAATTAATCTATTTTGAGTTTCTTTTTCCTCTTTGTTATCATGTGTTATTGTTATGCCGAGTATAATAAAATAACTATACATTTTGAGAAATCATGACATGGTGAAGTGAAAAAAGATACACAGTTGGACAATTTACACAACTTTATACATAAGTTATAATTAGAGTTATACAAATTACAAAAACAAATCTGAATAACAATAGAGTTAGAGATAAAAGACGAGAACGCAAGTGTAGCGTGATGCAGCTGTGAAAGGGCAGCTTGGCAGTCAGCACCGGCATAAACAGCTGCAAAGAGACAAGTTCTTGTAAAATAAATCTAGAAGTAGAGTTCAACGATGCACTATTAACTGTATGTTGTGTACAGAGTGGGATTGTGTAAAAAGTGGGATTTGACAAGGATTCAGTACTAATGCTTCGCACGGGTTGGCTAGTTAAAAATTAAAAGTGAAACAATTGGTGCATTGAAAATTGGAGTTTTCATATAAAATACATCACAATGCTCTTAACAACTATAACTGCTTTATGTTACCTGATTCACTTAAGTGGTGATTTCTTGGGTGAAGGTGTAGAGTTGATGTCACCGGAAACAAGTGCTGAGTTGGCTGAAGTATCAGAGAAATCACTGGAGGAACTCCGGATATCACCTTCCATCTGCAATACAGCCGAGAACTACTGAATGAAACTTATTATTCCCAAATATTTGTATATTGGACATAGATGATCTAAAATAAAATGGAACTTAATGAAAACTGAGGAATCAGTAAGAGTTTGAATAGTAAAAAAATCAATAAAGAATAAATTACTTTATTGAGAACACAAGGAAAAGTAAACCCTTAGTAACCAGATTGTGGGTCAGAGTTGTACGAGTTAATGGAAGTCATGAATAAATTTAATAAACTTAAGAACACATTGACAATTTGGGGTTGTTTGGGTATCTCATTTATATAATGAAACATCTTTAACAGAAAACAGGTTGAATGTGTTCAAAATTTTAAAGAATTTCAAAAATGATCTACAATCACAGTGCATAATATTTTTTAGCTTCGTAACACGTATTAAATTGCAAAGTTTACTAAACACAATCATCAAATATACAAATTCCAAACAAAAAATATTAGTTTCACAAAATGCTAATGGGTCATGGATTGTTAGTAAGTTTCTCAGCAATAATTTTTTTTTCATAATCACCATATATTATTAACAACAGACACATTATTCTTCCTTACACCTATTTATAAAAATATTATGGGGAAAAATTTTGTTTTTTCAATAAACTGGGAGAACAAAAAATGACATGCAAGCAGAAGCTAAGGTATAGCAGTGTTTTTAAACGTAGTCATGAAATCTAATAAACTTTTTTTTGCTATCTGATGATGAAACATTCTTGGACAATGTAAAGCTGCCACTAAACAAGCATAGTAAAACAAATCTTAAAGGTTAATAACACAACTGTATCTTAAAAAACAACGTCCAGTGGAAGTTTTAAAATTTGCTTTCAGATAAAATGATGTTGAGAAAACACATCTCAAAACTGAAAACCAAAGTTTTTGGGGCCCATTTGACTTTTACCTCAGCACAGGAGTTGTCTTGTGGACTTTGAAACAACTCCCTGGTTCCATAACCAAAATGTGGAAGCATTCTACTGACCAACGCCATCTCATGTTTCTGGCAAAACATCAAAACCAAGGAACCATACGGGGGCCAGTTAAACTAACCAACGTATTCTGAACTGCAATATTGACTAAATATAGATTGTCCGATTTAAACTGCTAACAAGTACAGGGTTATTAAAAAAAGAATGGTGCAAAACAATAAAAACTAGCATGTATACATCCTTTTAATTGGATACTGGCACAAAAAAGAACCACCAAAAATCTTTAAAAAAAATTTATGGTGACATCAAGTATAAGAATTAAACTGACGGATCAGTTTACAGATAACTATCTGAGAACAAAAACATACATGTTTCACCTTGTACTATGCTATCGTTCTCTAATGTTTGCATTCTTATAAATAAAATAATTTGGATTTTAATGACAATCTAAGAACACAAGTTTGAATGTCATAAAATACAACAGAGATATTTCTGTAAAAATCGGTTTTTATGTTAATTTACTTGACTTTCAAAAATACTGCAGGTACTAACATTGACAATATGTTCTCAACTGTTGATGCTGCAACGACAACACTGTGAGCATCATACGTGATCGTGGAGAATTCAGCGATAATTTCCCACGATCCCAATCACATTAGTGACCATATCTTTTAATCGCGGCAAAATTTGTAATAATTTCTGGTACTTGAACATGGTCCATGATGATTTCCTGCGATCACAGCAACAACAGTAATAATGTCAGACAGCCATGATTATATATTGCGACCGCAGAACATTTTTTTAATGATTTCCAGGGGTCGCGGCAGCGTCTGTGATGATTTCCCGTGATCACAGCAATGACCGACATCATTACTTCCAATCATAGAAACGTCAGAATTGCAGAACCACGTTCACGGCAACACACGTGGTGGTTTTTTAAGATCCCGACAAAATCCGGTAATCTTCCTGGCGACCATGTCAACATCTTAAATTATATCTCAATCGCAGTAATAGCTTATATACCACAATCACAATGTGATGATTTCCCGTGATTGCAACAAAATATATTGTTATCTATTGTTAAAAAATTGATTGATCCAGCGATTTTTTATCATAACATCTGCCATTACTTTTTGCGATTGAGGCCACATATTCTGTTTTCATCTTGCAATCGCAGCAAAATGTATGATCAATTTCTCGCTATTTCGGCAACGGGTGTGATTGTTTCTATTACGATCGCGGCAACGTCCATGATTCATGATAGTTTCCCGTAATCGCGATTTTTAATGCCGCAAAACAAGAAAAATTGGTGATTTCGGGTGTTTTTTCAACAATTATTCAAAAACACAAATTTCCCGGTTCCTTGCAAAATGTACATACAATTCACAGATTTTTTCCGGTCATCAAAATTTGTGTACAATTCCCAGATGTACCTGTTTCCAGGTTGACTGGACAGTGGACACCCTGTAAATTAGTCAAGTTACTCCCATAGCTTTACTCTAAAATTTGAAATAGTCAAATAAAGTTTTAGACAAACCTTTGAAGTCTGAAAATTATACTGGTAAAATAAATTATTATTGCCGTGTTAGCGATTACTAATTCAGAATTTAAATTTAATTTGATATAAATCTTCACAGTAAAAAATCAATTTAAGTTAAAAGTAATTCACTGGCCTGCTTGCTAGTTTTAAAGGCTTTAAATTCAATATTGACATAGTACTGACGATTACACACTCTAGACCATGATCTGCCTGTAATACAAAGTTGAGAACAATAATTTACAAACCTGTCCTGCTGAAAGAGCAGATTTTGCTAGTTTCAAAATTAAATAGGTCCAGAATAGATGAAGTCCAAGGAGGAAAAACAGCAGACCGTTGAAAATGTAGTAGGCAGGAAACATCGGCGTGTTGACTATGATAGGCCCTCTAACAGTAGTGCTGCAAACAACCAAGCAAACCACTCATAATCATAAATCAGTCATACACCCTTAGAGATCATAGCTATGGACTATGATAGGCCCTCTAACAGTAGTGCTGCAACCAACCAAGCAAACCACTCATAATCATAAATCAGTCATACACCCTTAGAGATCATAGCTATGGAAGAAAATTGTATTATACCAAAAGCTAGTGTAGAATGTTAGCGTCGGCTGCTAGACTTTTTAAAATTTTCTAAAAAAAAACTTATTTTAAAAGTTTTAAAAGATTTTTTTTTCATAAGGTTTTTTTTCTATGAAAACAATAGCTCCAGTATTGTTCATGTTTTTATGTTTTAGACTCAAAATAATCAGTAAATAATATAATAGGCTATAATTTGAGGTATCTGTTGATCGTTTGAATGAGTTACGCTCAAGATACTGAATTACTCAATAAAAAATCATAAATTTGATTATTTCTCGGATATTATATTTACTTTGAAGCTGCGGAGCAGCATGGGTCCTCTAGTAAACTACTATTTAAGTAAGAAAACCATGTATAAAACATAGGCCTACTTCCTTATATTAGTACATTTCTCATCCTTATGGATCAGCTGAAGACAGTTTTATTGTTATTTCTGTCCGGTGCACTGTCTTTAGAGGTCGTGTATTTAAAACCTCGTTTAACCAAATAAAACGTACTAATCATAACTAATAACACATCTCCTAGTTATATAACAAAAAAAGTAAAGAACAAATCATGAAGTTAACTATAAAATAATTGGAACACAATTTCGTCGACACTAGCGATCAGTGTCACCGGACATTGACTAGACACGAAAAACGAGCTTCAAAGTTTACAATGGATGTAAAGTTTACTTGTGTTGGTTAGTATATGGTAAGACTATAATGCATTTTCCACCCTAATCATAAGAATAATATTAAACATACTTCTAAATATATTTATTTTATTGACTACGTTGCTCTTACTCCTAATTATTCGTAGGATACGACATTGTTGTACCGATACGATCATAGGTACTACACTTTCGGCAACACTGGCCAAAAATCTTCGTGCTTGGCTCCCATTGGACGGCGCGCGAGGCTTCTGATTGGGAGTTAGCGAGTTCTGCCGAGGGACAGAGTTAGCGACTTCCGTACGAGGACGGAATTCGCTAGTGGGTTAGTGGGTTCTGGAGTTAGCCAATCCCGAAACCGAACAAGTTAGCGAGTTCCTCTCATCGACCAATTTTGAAGATAGGGCGTTTAACATGGGGTTAGCGAGTTCCAAAGTTAGCCAATTCCGCAGACCCGATTTTACAATATAATAAATCATAATGGATTCGAACTTAAGCATTCTAATTAAAAAATAATATATAAAGTAACTTAAAAGTCATATACATACCTATATATTAGTATAAATGGAAAGATACCAGTTCTTGTCACAAGCCATGAGATGGTAAATATGGCAAAGACTGTATCACACAACTTTTGGTACTTCGCATATTTAGCCATTTTTGCAAACTGTAAAATAAGGTTTAAAACTAATATTAGCCACAAATAATAATTCAATGCACATATTGTTGAAGGAAACCGAGGAATATTTTACAGACATCATGTACATACTATAAATGATAAAATAGACTTCATAAATAGTTGTGAAAGCGTCCTGCTTGAGAAAACACAATTACAACTCTTAGTGGACCAATAATTAACTGTGATTTCCACCAAACAACATCAGGGTGTATACTATTTTATTAAAGTGAAATTCCAGGTTTTTTCCAGGTTTTTTCCTGGTTTTTCAAAGTTTTTCCAGGTTCCCGCGTATCTGTTTGGTTCCACTTAAACTATAATCAATTTAAGACTTGCAGCTTAAAGTATACAATACACATCAAATTTGTTTCAAAGTCCAGTGAGCTAGTGTTGAAAAAATAATAATCCTTATTATAGTAATAATTTTTATTATCAGCATTACTTAAGGCTACCGGAAACATCGTCTCTCTCGATAGCAGCAAAATCCTGAATTTTTTCCTGCGGTCATGTGGTCGCTTCCCACAGTGACGTAAACGTCATCACAGTCTTACGTTATCATAGAAAAATCCTGGACATCTCCCGCGGTATGTATACATTATCGCCGTCTCTCGCGATCACGGAAACGTAATCATCGTCATCCGCGATCGCGGCAAAATCACGAAAATCTTCCGCGGCCGTGTGGACATCATCATTGACTCCCGCGGTCACGTAAAAGTCATTATCATCGTCCGCGATCACGGCAGAATAAGGAAAATGTTCCGAGGACGTGTAGACACCGTCATTGACTCCCGCGGTCACGGGAACGTCATCGTTGTCGTCTACGATCTCGGCAAAATCATGAATATTTCCCGCGGCAGTGCAAACATCATCGTTGATCCCGTGGTCACGTAAAAGTCATTATCATCGTCCGCGATCACGGCAGAATAAGGAAAATGTTCCGAGGACGTGTAGACACCGTCATTGACTCCCGCGGTCACGGGAACGTCATCGTTGTCGTCTGCGATCTCGGCAAAATCATGAATATTTCCCGCGGCAGTGCAAACATCATCGTTGATCCCGTGGTCACGTAAACGTCATCGTCGTCGTCCGCGATCGCGGTAAAATCATGAACATCTGTGGCCGTGTAGACATAACCATATCGTCGTCTTTCGCGGTCACGGCAAAACACGAATATCTTCCGCGGCCGTGTAGACATCATCATTGCCTCCCGCAGTCACGGAAACGTCATCATCGTCGTCGTCCGCGATCTCGGTAAAATCATGAATATTTCCTGCGGCCGTATAGAGATCATCATTGCTTCCCGCAGTCACGGAAACGTCATCGTTGTTGTCCGCGATCTCGGCAAAATCATGAATATTTCCCGCGGCAGTGTAAACATTATCGTTAATCCCGTGGTCACGTAAACGTCATCGTCGTCGTCCGCGATCGCGGCAAAATCATGAACATCTGTGGCCGTGTAGACATAATCATCGTCGTCTTTCGCGGTCACGGCAAATCATGAATATTTCGTGCGGCCGTGTAGACATCATCATTGCTTCCCACAGTCACGGAAACGTCATCGTCGTCGTCCGCGATCTCGGTAAAATAATGAATATTTCCTGCGGCCGTGTCTACATCATCGTCGTCTCCCGCGGTCACGGAAACGTCATCGTTGTCGTCCGCGATCTCGGCAAAATCATGAATATTTCCCGCGGCAGTGTAAACATCATCGTTTCCCACGGTCACGGAAACGTAATCGTCGTCGGCCGCAATCACGGCAAAATCACGAGGATATCACGCGGCCGTGTAGAAATCATCATCGTCGTCTTTCGCGGTCACGGCAAATGACGAAAATCTTCTGCGGCCGTGTAGACATCATCATTGCCTCTCGCAGTTATCGAGAAACGTCATCGTCGTCGCCCGCGATGTCGGTAAAATCATGAATATTTCCCGCGGCCGTGTCAACGTCATCGTCGTCTCCCGCGGTCACGGAAACGTCATCGTCGTCTCCCGCGGTCACGAAAACGTCATCGTCGTCGCCCGCAATCGCGGCAAGACACATTTTACGACTACAATCTTCTACTGGGGCAAAAATTAAAATCCCGGAATCGGTCCAAAAATCCCGGCTTTTCCCCGGTTTTTTCCAGGTCCCTTTAAATTCAAGGTTATTTCCCGGTTCTCCCGGTTGGTATACACCCTGAACATATTGCACAATGTGAATTTGAAAAATATTTTTAGAACAATGATGCAAATTACATTCTTTACTGCGTGGGGTATCTGGTTTTTAAATATTCACAGGTTGGCAGCACTGACAAGCGGTTAAATGCATGGGAAACTGGTTGTGTTGGCATTGGTGCCAGAAAATTTGATACATTTTGAGATGAAAATATTATTGCTTGTCACTTGTAAGTTGCAACATTGTTGTGCTGAGCCTTCAATTAGAGTCTGAGCATAGGGTTTTATGTCAGAAATCAAGCTGAATATTTGTATACAAAAAATAAATAAAGATTGAAAACATGGTAAAACTGTCCAAAAAGATCTATTACTGTTTTACAGAGGTATTACTGTGTCACTGAGGTAAGTAATCAATATAGGCCCTATATCTTTTGCAATATTACTAAAACATTCCTCTGTGCAAAAAAAGGGACTGTAATTGACTTGTAGAGTAATACAATATGCTTGTTTTGGGAGTCTGAGTCTATCTCTAACACCACATTGGAGTGATACTCACCTAAGAAACTGTAAGGAAAAGATAACTGTGTGAACATTATAAATTAATACTAGAGGTGTGCAAGCATGAGATTTTTGATCGATCCAAGCATTTGGTGTCAGTGTGGACATCATCGTCTCCCAGGGTTACGGAAACGTCATCGTCGTCATGCATGATCGCGATAAATTGAAAATAAATACCAAATGTACACATCATTCCTGGTTTTTCCCGGTTCAAAAAAATCACATATAATTCCCGGTTTACTAGGTCGGTGGACGACCTGATATATTTGACATTTTCATATGTAAGAGATGTTTTCCTGCAATGTTCTCGTCAGTAAAAACTTGTAATGTAAAGCGTGCATGCATTTACCAACCTCTAGAAAAATATCGGCAAAGTCATGAAGCAAAATTGTCAAACTGCCGATCCTGTGAAAGTTGCAGACCCAAGACAGAGCCAGCAAGAACAAAGTTAGGACGTGATGAGCGAACATCTGCCAGAAGTCCTTCCTCTTGACATCAAAGAACTGAGAGCCCATGAGTGACCAGTAGAATGCAGCTGAGGTCATGTAATACCACCACACTCCTCTACTGACACCCTGGTCAACAGAGAAAAACACCAACACCAATGTCAAAACTGTATCAGAATCAGAATCAATAATCTATATTTATATTGGATAAAAACGTACAACAGACTAACAGTTAATTTTTTACATTTGCATTTTCAAGATTCAAAAAGTCTTTATTTACACAGCACAAAGTTTTATACATGAATAGTGTCTATTATTGTTACTTACTACCTAAATTAGCAATAAGAAACAGTTAAACAAATTACAAATTGCTATACATAATTTAAAATTGAAATTACTAAAATCTTCTACACTGTAAGGGGCTAGGTCAAGTAAGAATGCCTTCAGTTTTTCCATAGATTTGGATTTTCTTTTTTTAAAAAGATAGGAAGTTTTCTAAAAAAATTGTTTCCAATTTAATAAGGTTTATTTTTTTAAAGTTCAAGTCTTGGTTGTTCTTTAACTAAATAATTTTTACCCCTTGTATTATGATTATGCACATGTAATTCTTGAGTCTCATCAATATTTAATTGTTTAAAAAATATATAAGGTGTGAACTGTAAAAATGCACTTCCCTTTAAAATAAGATTTGACAGACTGGTCATATTTAATTTATGTAATAATGTGATTGCTTGTTTTTGTATTTCCAAAATATTTTTTAAATTCTTTTTCTTTGTCCCACCATAAATACTAATTCCATAGTTAATATGTGATTCAATATGAGCACGATATATCATTTTAAGGACCGATTCACAGAGATATGACATTGTTCTTAGGACGAATATACCAGAATTTAGTTATCTATATATTTAATACACAGTTGTAACACTGTTTTCTCAGTAATTACTGGACCGATCTACAAGATTTATGTCTCAAATTAAAGGGGATAGTGTGAAGATTTGCCGAACTTCCTTACAATTTACGTTTTTTCTAAGGGCTACGACCTAACAGCCCTTTAAAGGTCGAGTCAATACAATTCTTATCGAAGAATATAATACACAGTTTATAAATTATTCGTCAGCTGTTTAATGTTTTTCAGACATTTGTTATTATTTTTATAACCTCACTTTCAGTATGCAATTATTAAACTTGGAGTTTCTGTTTATAAACACACGATTTTCATCAAGGAAAGTGTATTTGTTAACTTATTTTTGAAATGTTTTAGTTTTCCTGCAAAGTGATCTGAAGGAAAGTGGTAATTGAGTTTAAGTTTGAGTATGGAATGTGAAATAATACCCATAGTAGGGGACGGAAACTTATTGTTTTGATCAATATAATTTATTCTCTATAGCCACCAGAACAATCATAGGGAAATCCGCTTGTAAGTTGTACAGATAATTGCTAATGATTGGTAAACATACAAACATTTTAAATCGTAAGTGATTAATCTTACTCAAGATCAGTGTTCGACGTCCAAATTTTACCTTCTCGAGATGGCGAGTACGCTTTGATATTTGGAACTACAATTTATCAGTGAACTATACCCTAACCATATTTTTTCGAGTAGGCCTACACAGGGAAGTTGCTTGAGAAACTGTGACTTACGATTTCGGTTCTGGCGAAGAAGTATCTGACTTGATGTTTAATGGCAATGTTGACTCGGGTCATTATAGCGCTATAAAACTTTATCATTCACCCCAGGATGTGAAAAGTACAAAAAGAAAAATAAAAGGTAATCATTAACCGGGCGTAAAGAGACATACAGAACGAAAAAAAACATGCAGAGAACCAATGAACTAAAAAGGTAAAGAGCAGTGATGGTGTTAAATGTGCTCTGGAAGTCCCTTCTAAAAAATACCAATTGTTTGAATTGGGGTCGTTGGATTGGATTTGTCAGTACTGCAAAGCTATGAATTTTGAGTCAGAACAGACTAACTGGGACACAAATATTTTTTCCTTATGTTGTCACAAGGGGGAGAGTAAAATGAACTCCTTATCAACATTTTGAGTTTATGGAAAATCTTATCAACAGCGACTATAAAAAAAGTATTAAGGGTCAAAAGAGACAAAAAACTATTTGAGTAAAATATAATACAAATCTGCATTTGTAATGGCCAGTTCTAAGTCTCACTTGAATCAACATCTTTCTGGTAGTGGTAGTCTATATAGTTTTAAAATCCACTACTCCTTTTCCATCAAATTGGACCGTTAATACCCTCTAACATTGATCAAAGTATGCACAACTTTATATATACGACGTAAACACAGCTTTTACTCACAGTATGGGTCAAAGATTCGTGAAATGCGACCAACTGCTGATGCGTGATTTACATGTAGGCTAAGTGAATATCTTTATTCCATACAACAAATTTAATGAAAAAAAAATGACGAATATAGGAATATACTTAAAAAAAATTATCTAAATAGCATAAATGGCTGCTTATTAGGTTATCAGCATTGCCCAGTTCGTATACTATTTATTTTTCAAATGAAACGCGAATTAATATAAAACATTCATTTGGTTAAAATAATATATCGGTTTGATATTGATTAACATAAAATAGTTTATACATGCAAACTATCAGTTCTATTTCATGTAGGCCTAAAAAATTAAACAACCCCTAAATAAAATACAAAGAGAAACAGTATTTGTTAATTATTATTTTTTTTTTCCTGACAATATTCCCGTGGCGGAGCACGGGCGGTTAACTAGTTTTATTAAATACTCAACATGTTTATTCCAGCTTAAATCCTCATCTATTATCAAACCCAATAATTTTGAAGTTTTAACTTGAGCAATGGAATTTTTATCTAGGCTATATCTAACTTTATACTTGTATCATTTTTGTCTCTTTTTGTTTTGGAAAGAATGAAATAATTAGTTTTACTAAAAACCGATTCAGACTTTTTATTCTGATTTAGCAGACATTTCTAAATCAGTTAGGGATTTCCCAGTTGTGTTAATGTGTTAAGTTATTTTATATACTGATAAAAAAAAATTGCATGTGGTTTTCTTTTGCAGAGCATCTAAATATTTTACTTCTTTATAATGGAAAAAACTCATTAAATGGATAACTATTTTGCAGCACATGATTCTTACTAGCTTAATGACTTTAATGACATTATTTTGTTTTATTTTACTGGTCCATTTGTTGGGAAAATGGTTTTAAAAATAAAATATCCCATGTAGGTTTTTTTTCATAGAAGTTAAATTATGTTTTGATGAATTAATATTATTATTATTTCTTGTATTACATGAATGAACATGTTTTCTAATTTCCAAATTTTGTTTTTGATTCCAAACACACATTAAACATTTCTAGAATAGGCTAGTAGAATATATTGACCGTAGACAGTCTAAGTGCAGGCTGAAAAATGTATCTTTTACAGTTATTTTTTTGTTTAAATATAGCCAGAATTTTTGTTGGATGCTCCTCTATTGATTGTTAGACCATAAGACATATAAATACCCCCACCGCAGCAAACCTGCAGACAAAGCGAATTTCAACTTGTCTGATTACATTTTAACTAAAATGTTTAAGAGATATTTATTCCCAATTTAAATAACATCATTAGATTTAACGATTACTTAGGTTTGCTGCTACGGGGAAGGTAAAAAGTGTTTTTGACCAAACGTCAATAGTATAGGATGAAATAAATAAAGTAGCCAAATTTTATCAACATATATCCATAAACAAGTATAAACTGTTATAAACTACAACAGTTACACTTTTTTTTAATTTTCTCCGTAAACGTTAGGCATACAACAGCGCTTTAATATACTTAATTATTCCTTTTTTTAAGCTCTACAAAATGGTTTGGAAAGAAATATAAACCCCCGTTCCCATGGTCCGATCATGCTGGTTCACGAACTCGTTCGAATAAATGTAGGTTACACGTTTATACTGAATTTCAACCAATGTCCGTTAGCACGATACCTCGAGCAAAAATGATTTGATTTTGATGAAATTCGGTATAAACGTGTAAACCTACATTTATTCAAACGAGTTCGTGAACCAGCATGTTCGGACCATGGGAACAGGGGTTTATATTTCTTTCCAAACCATTTTGTAGAGCTTAAAAAATGGAATAGACCTACGGTAATAGCTTATTCCCTATATGGGAAATGTTAAAATGTGAATGCACAAAATTGAAAGGGTAAAAGCTTAAAACACAACATAAAAAAGACAAAATATACGAGGACAGAAATATAGTATAACCAAAGGTAAACGTATTGATATTGATACGTAATAAGACAGCAAACTTCTATCATGTGTTCTAAGTGGCACTATCAGCAGACTTGGTAAACAAACAAATACAGAGGAAGTGCCTTTTGTGATAAAAACTGTTAAAATTGCTACATACGTAGAGGAAAAACTACTTCAACCTAATACCTCAGTAATGATACGTTTGTCTTGACGATTTAACAATACCACCAATTAAGATAAAGATTTTACCTACTGGGGGTATTTTACCCAGAAATAAATTGAGGATGAGTGTAGAATCACCTTAACATATTAAATATATTTTAAAGATTGTATAAATTAAATTAGTAGGCATACTTATTTCAGGCCCCCAAGTGGTTTTTGACCTCAAAAAAGTAGGAAAAGTAGGACTTTTTCAGCAAAAAGTAGGACTTTTTACTGAAAAGTAGGACTTAATTTTACATACAAATCGAACTTTTTTGCTGATACAATATATATTAAAAACCAAATAATACTAGCATACACAATAGTTTATCAAATATAATAGTGTATATAAATATACAGGGTGTTTCCAAATTGTCTGGACATATTTTGTGGACTTGTTTCTGGGGCTAAGACAAACATAAAATTCCATATAAGTATGCATGGGTCTAAAATGCCTAAATTTTTGTTGGTCGGTCTGTTTGTGACATTTAAAAATTATTTTATATCTTGGGCATTTTTCAAGATAGAACTTTTAAAATGGTTATAAATGTGTATTTTAGAAGGTGACAAGAGCTTGCAAAGTTTCGATCCAATATCTCAAGCCGTTTCAATATGGCAGTCATTTAAAATCTTTAATGCCAAATTTCATGAAAACCGTAAATATTTAGAAAATGGTTTCCAGGATCAAAAAGATAGAGAATTCAAATCCAAATCAAATGAGACCTTGTTTGTAAAATCGGATGACAAACAACCATAAATAAGTTTTTTTTCAACATTCGGTTACGCAATTTAATAGCACTACCATACTGTATTCTTATTTGTTATTTTTCAGAGCAGTATGGGTAGTCCTATTAAGTTGCGTAAACAAATTTAGAAAAAAACTGATTTGGTTGTTTGTCATCAGATTTTAAAAAAACAAGGTCTCATTTGATTTGTATTTGAATTCTCTATCTTTTTGATCCAGGAAACTATATTCTAAATATTTACGGTTTCAAATTAAATTTGGCATTAAATATTTTAAATGGCTGCCATATTGAAACGGCTTGAGATATTGGATCAAAATTTTGCAAGCTCTTATCACCTTCTAAAATACACATTTATATCCATTTTAAAAGTTCTATCTTGAAAAATTCCCAAGATATAAAATAATTCTTAAAAATCACAAACAGACCGACAAATTAAAATCTAGGCATTTTAGACCCATACTTATATAGAATTTTATGTTTGTCTTAAGCTGGGTCCTAGACGCGGAAGCGGAGAGCGGAGAGAGGAACGCGGAGAGCGGAAAAGAAATTAACATGGTGTTCCGCTCCGCTTCTAGGAAAACAGAAACATTAAATTACCTAAGACAAGTGGAGTCCGCTCTCCGCTTCCGCGCCTAGGAAAACCCGGCTTTAGCCCAAGAAAGAAGTCCACAAAATATGTCCAGACAATTTGAAAACATACCTAAAATAATTCTATACATAAATTTTAAAATTAAAATCAATAATTAATTATTTTTATTTAAAAAATCTTCAACTAAAAGGCCGGATATAGTTTTAGCTGAGATTGTACACCAAATATTCAGAAGTAACGCACAAGAGAAATTAAAATGTTAAGGAGTCATTATCTACAGTCATCACGAAAAAATATTTAGGACAAGAAGCATTAAATAAAGGATAAAAATAAATATGTTTCCCTAACGTTAACTAACCCTAATTTGTGTTTAAAATGGTGTTGTAAATAAGAAATTTGTTCTTTTTTTTATATTATTTAATATTTCAGAACTAAAATTAATATAAAAGTAAAATGAATTTTTTTGGGTGGAAAACAGAAGCATGAATAGTTATTTCAGTAGGCCTATAAAGTACGGAACTAGATATAATATAAAATTCTAAAAATATGTTCCAAAAGTATTTTGAATTAGTTAGATTAGAGCGATCTTAAAAGTAGTAGGAATGTTTGAATTGTAATGAGTAAAAACTATTTGAGCCAGTGAAACTTGGACGTTTAAACTTAAACTTAAGCCTTAATTTATTTTGAATACAGTTATGTCAAAAAATCATGTTTAGGCTAATCAGGGAAACACTGGACCGATAAGTGCTAAAGTAAACTACTTTTGAACTAGTATCCCAGGGCTCCGCAGGAGCATTGATTTCCCCTCAGTTTACTTCATTGGGGAATCTAAAAGACATGTCAGAATAGTAAGCACTGATAATAATCACAATTTTTATTTTCTATCACAATAGTATTGCCATGTCTTTGAAAATAAAAATGTTTTCACCCAATAACAATGTTGATAAGATTAACCATACAGATACTACCGGTACTGGAACTTATAAATTAAAATTTTAAATCATTTAACAAATTGTTTTATAAAAAAATTATCTCAGTCAGTCATATTTTTTAGGAAAAAACTTCTCATTGGGAAATATTGATAAGTAAACATTAATAAGTGTAATAAAATATCGCAAAATCAACATAATTTTTATAAAAAAGTAGGAAAGTAGGACAAATGTGTAAAAAGTAGGACTTTTCCTACTTTCCTACTAAAAAGTAGGAAAAGTAGGAAAAGTAGGACGACTTGGAGGCCTGATATTATTTATATATTTTCACTTAAGTGCCCTTGGAGCATAGACGTTCTAACTCATAAACAAATTTAAAAACTACAAAGCAAATGTAAAATCTTACAGTATACTAGATATTTAAATTAAAATCATTTTGGTATTTGAAAAAATATTTTGGGGTGGTAAATAACTCTTCAGCGGCTGTTTGAAAATAACAAAATTAACATTGCTCTTAAGGCAGGCAAAGCCAGGATGGCCGTTGGCTTCCATCGACTCCCTTGGAAATACATTAAAAACAAACAAATTTTCTAATCTCACAGTATACTAGATATTTACACTACAATCACTTTGGTGTTTGAAAAACTATTTTTAAATGATAAATTTAACTCTTCATCAGCTTTTTGAAATCATCCAAGATGGCCGCTAGCCTCCAAGGACTCTTAAATCTTTCTATTTTCATAAGGTTAGTGGCCTCTTGCCGGTTCACAGATGCATCATACAGCTGGATGTAGAACTTGTCAAGCAAAGCAAGAGGTAAGCCAATCTATAAGTATAAAAGAGGATGTTTGTATATATATTTGTTTGTTTGGCAGTGATAAACTCAGACACCGCTGAACCGATTGCCACGAAACTTGGTACATACGTGTAGAATGTCATGGAATAGGTTTATACACCATCAATTTCGTGATCCGTCCAATCGGCTCCGCCCCAGTGCTCTGGAGTTTCCCATGTTAACCTTATGAGAAATGGAATTAATGAATCTTACCAGCTGTTTCAATTAAACAAGTTGGTTCTGTTCTATGATGTTCAATAGCATTAAAGTTACAAGGATTACCAACAGGGTGCAGCACTATTATTTCTTTTACATTTATGACAACAGCTAATTTGCAACCAAAAGGTGAGTGAGCGTAGCGAACGAACTTCAACCTGGAGGCGAGTTAGCGTAGCGAACGAGCTAACCTGAAGGCAAGTGAGCGTAGCGAACGAGCTAACCTGAAGGCAAGTGAGCGCAGCGAACGAGCTCCAACCTAAAGGTGAGTGAGCGTAGCGAACGAACTTCAACCAGGACGTGATTGAGCCATGCGAACGAGATCATCTTGAAAATTAAGAAGTTAAACGGGGCAAAGCCCGCGGGATTATAAATAAGTTTAGTCAAAGCACAGACAATGGAATAAACCTATTATATGGTCTGTGGTCAAAGGCAAGACAACGTCTGCCGGGTTCAGCTAGTACAGTATAAGAATGAACTCTACTGATACATTAATGTTATGTGGCAGCATCAGGACTGGCATTTACAACATTGCTGTATTGGTTTCACAGGCATTACGACTCAGCCACCGACAAACAAATACTTTATCGTCTAAGGATTTAAATTAAGAGCAAGACACTTTTTCTGGAGGGAATTTTGGATTTAAGATAAAGTAGATAATAACATGAACAATCAACATGTAAAGTAAGTAATTCAGGTTAAGTGTAAGAAAGGGCCATGTGGCCCTAACTTTGCCTGTGTAAATAAATTATTTTTTATTTTTTTCATTTCATGCACAGAGTAGGACGCAGGAGGGGGAGGGGCTTAACGTGCTTTTGAGTTTTATGTTGGTTTTAGAGTTAACCTCTTTTCACTACAACTTTGAAAATTAAGCCACTAAATTACTTAATACATTTTTCTTAATATGGTAAACAAAATTACTTGTTGGTCAATTATTATATTAAAATGATCTTACAGTGCTACTTAGAAAAATACATCAACATGCAACCAAGCCTATGTAACCACCTAAGGGCCATTGCCCAAGAATGTCAGCCGACGCTGAGAAATAGACGCTAGCGATGGACACTCAGAGACTGCTAAGCATTGATTTCAATGGGCCCATTGTCCAAGAAGCTTCTGACGTTTGAGACGCAGGGCACTGCCCTGGGAGCAGACGGGATTGTTGATGGCCAATATCTATTGCGTCTATTGCAGTGTTGTGCTTGTGTTTTCCTGTGCTCTCAAGTTTATATTTTTACTGTGAAGTGAACATTGTCACGTTGATTGAATGCTAGTGCATGGCTTTAATTTTAATTTAATTTTAAAGGAAAAACAAACGTACACTTTTTTTTTTTTTTTTTTTTAGAATTGTTTAGGTTGAAGCCTTTAAAATTTAGATTTACAAAATCCCATTGACAGTACCTTAGTGTAAAAGCTAACTGTCGCGGTGCATAAAACCAGCCTAATAGAATTTAACACAGTCAGCAACCAACTGTTGAACAGAATAGACACGTTCTTGGACAACAGGCCTTAAAGCGATCACTGCCCAGCGATCATCGCTCTGTGACGCACGCAGCAGACGCGTCTTGGACAACTCACCTTTAGCTACCCAGCTACATATTCACACTAGTCACCTGGTGAGGATAGTTGTGCCAACACAAGTCAGTGTCCCACAGCCAAGGTTTGTCCCACAACACGTACAGGCCGAATGAAAATGAAGATGCATAATATGTGAACCTCCACCTGCACAGGTTGCAACTATGTTAGTAGATAATCATTGAAACATCTATGTACCAATTGTAGGAAATTGTTAAAAAAATTGAACATACAGTAGTGTGAGTGATCGTGGATAGTCAAAATCGCAAGAAATTCAAACATAGGCTAAAATATTCAAGAAGTAGCTTAACATTGACTTTGACTAGACAGTTAATCTTTAAGTAATAGTACAACTTTTTATGTGCTGTTTAGATAACTTTTAACTTTGTTTTAAAATGTATTTTTTTAACAAAACAAAATATAATATTGGAGAGCCTATGTTGAGGCCTAGTAAATGTACCTTATTAACTCATTGGTGGTTAGTGAAGTAAATAACAACATCTCTATAGTCTGACTGCAAGACGATGAGTCTTATAACAATGTAGCATATAATGTACAATTAACTTCAACTTCAATATATTTTTTATTTAGTATAACAGTTTACTTTTTTACTCCTCTTTATTTTTTAAGATTTTTTTGGAATTGTTTTGAGTTTTAAAAAAGGGGCGCCAATTTTCAATATGGCCATTAATTTTAATATTTTTTATGAAAATCCTATACAGTAGACTCCCTCTTATCCGGACTCCTCGGGACCGAGGCCAGTCCGGGTAACGGTTTTTCCGGTTAAACCGACGTCCACAAAAACTCGTTAAAACATTTACTGTTTACCGTTTACTGTGATATTCAACTTAAATTTAGGAGAGCATTGTATTTAGACATGTGATCACTGGTCTCAAATCTTTTCCACAAGAACAGTCGTTTCAGTACCGCCCACTTCCTGCCGATGTAGTCCGGTTAAGTCAATGTGCTGATAAAAATTGTCCGGTTAAAGAGATGTCATTTCTGCCGAGTGTAGTCCGGTTAAACCGATGTCCGGTTAAAAGGTGTCCGGATAAGAGGGAGTCTACTGTATTTAATTATTGTCTTAGAATGTAAATGTGATTTCAAAATGTTTGTACTTGAAATTTTATGTCTAAAGCTACGATGATACGATGTTTACAAGTTAGGTACAGTGTTACACAACAAAAAAAAAGTGTGTTACACCTAAGAAAACATGGCTTGCTATGTACATTCTGCATCATGAAGCTCCTAAACAAGTAAGTTTAGAGAGAAAATACAAAGAACAAATAAGTCTTAAAATTGTATCTAGGCCTACTAAGTTTAAAAATGCAGCTAACTAAAAATTGTATAATTCTGTATTTTATGGTCTTTTAAAATTTTTTTAGATACAATTTGAGTATTGTTATTACCCGTTCTCCGTAAACTTGACTATTGTGGAGGGTTTATCCTGAGCTCTTCTCAGCCGCAGCCATCTCTCCACCTGCCTCTCCGTCCAGTCCAGCTGTTTGGCCAACCCTGAGATGTCTTTGTGTTTCATCTTCAGATTCTGCTTAAACGCTCTCTCCAATATTTCATTGTGCACCGCTCTTTTGGGCTTGCTACCCTTTATTCCCAAAGCTGTACCGATTGGTATGAAGCAGTATCTGAAAACATCCGTTTTTATTTTAGTTTCAAACTGTGGAAAAAAATTCCCACATATTTCCAGGCAGACTGGTATTTCCGGTCACCAAGTGTACCTTTTTACTAAGAGTTTGCAGGTCCCTGATATTTTCGGGTAAGGTCGGGCCAATACAAACCAAAAATACTTATCAGGCCAAGCTCCGTTTCAGTCGAGTCAAGCGAATATTTCTGTGAACCCGGAGAGCGTTTGTGAAGGTTCGCGAATCGCGATCGTGGGAGACGATTGGTATGAAGACCATGGATGATGTTAACGGTTTTACCGTACACGTAGATTAGACATAAGACATAAGACATATTTTATTTACACAATACGTTCTTTATAAAGTACATTTCATACATAAGAACAGGTGTTTCGTCATAGTGATGTATTTTATAGTAAAATTAATAGTTAAAATAATTAAAATAAACTCATGTAGGATATCAGAGAGATTAAACATACTACTCCCCTGTGCTGGGAAGATGTACCCAATTTTACCCAATCGTCGGCGCAGACGATGTTCACAGAAGACGTTTTAGATTTTGCCCGGACCATGATAGGAGGTGTTGACAATTTGTCAGGACCACAAAAGATTTTCTTGACTTTGCTGCGACCTCAGAAGACGTTTAAGATTTGACTGAGACCAAAGACTAAAACCAGGTTTTCCCAGTAAAATTTCAAACCTCCTGCATAATTCTTAAATTTGAATGCCAGAAGATGGACTCTCAAATTTAAAACTGGATTACTGCAGAGAGTTACGAAACACCATGTATGATTATAACCATATTCATGGTTATGTACATTGTATACAGTACTGAAGTAATAAATAGCTCCAGTAAGACCTGTTGGTGACCTGTGTCAGTAGACCTGTAATGCAGGTGTGTAGTTTTAGCAACACCTTCAACTATATAATCTATGATGAAACAAACATCTACAAAGCAATAACAGATTATAAACACAGTATAATCAAAGTGCAGTAATTTGCAAATACAGAGAAAAATTATAGGCTTACTCATTATATGGATATAGGAAATAATTTGATTCAAATTGGATTCCAGATTAGGTTTTTTGTATACCACAAGAAAACTAAGCCCAAACATATTTCTTTGTATCTAATATACAATTCGCACAGCCAAGTGAACAAGATCAAATGCCTAGAAAGATCAATGATCAATAAACTTCATTTTTACAAGAAAATTATTCAGATCTATTGTATGCACACAACAATACCCAATCAATCAATCACCAAACTCATTATAGACCATGGTAACCCTCCTTGGTATACGTTCACATTTCCAGTTTAATAGCTAAAGTACCTTGTGATTTGCTTGTGTTGAATATTAAAAACCGTTTGTGTTTTTTTAAGTATACCTGTGAGACTAAATCACAGAAAGACTAAAAAAAACACAGTGGGTAGCCTATTTAATAATGAAAAAACATATTATTTTTTTTAGCAAATTTCTCATGTAGGGAATAAGCTATTACTGTAGGTTTCATCGAAGACCTAGACCCGGGACCAATTTACTTTTATTGTTTTCAGGTCCCTAGGGGCCAAAACACCCTCTTTTAAATTCATAAATATATATATGTGTCCGTTATTGCGATAAATCGAGCAAAAATAATTAGTTTTAGTTTTGATGAAATTTGTACCAAATTTATTTTAGTAGATATCCAGACAGGTAAATGGAAATTTGCTTAGTCTGCAGGTTTGCTGCGGCAGGGGTATTTTTATCTTTTGCATTGGTTTTATATCTTGGCTTTTTAAGCTTGTGTTAACCTTATGTTTATTGATAGGTGACTTTATTTCAATAAAATACAGCATTCAGATATTATCTGTCTGTGTATTGCACAACACAAAACCCCCAATTCTTTTCAAACAAGTTTTTTTGACAGGTACAAACACGTTATAAGGATAAGTAAAAATTAGGACTAACCTACTGCCTTATTTGAAATGCATGTCAAAATATAACAACCCCTCCTTCTACCTCGAGCAACTTTCCCTGAGCCGTTTATAGTTTATTTTAGGTGAGCCTCTCTCCCACTAAGGTAAACCTTCTCAAGTTGCCCACCAGACCTGACTGGTCAACCCAACACTCAAGTGTATAGCCTATCTACAGAGAAGTAATGTACTGAGGAAACATTCAATGGTACACTTAAGTGTTCTCTAGCACTATTTGCTGGTGTCAAACTCTAACACTGCCCACCCATTTACTACAACACCTACGGTTAAGGAAGACCCTGTGCGATAGGAATTCCCGCACAAGTGCTCGCCACTCTGGCCCTTTCTTGCTCGTCACAAGCATATTTCCGGCATAATATACTACAGTTAAAACTGTGCAGTCATACCATATCAGCGTGTTTCCTCTGTACCTTACTTCTTTGTGGTAAGTTACATCTAAACTTGAGTCTCTTGAGTTATTTTTTAAGGTTTCGATTTCATTTTTGACACAAGTGGATAAAACAACTAAATTACACACTTCCAGATACACGTAAAAACACACTTTGTTAAGAATGGCAATTGTGTTACGCATTCACAAACTGAAATTTACTTAGATAAGCTTCACTAATCAGGAAGGCTACTGATTGATGCATGGCAAGTTCTCCACTAGTAACCATGCTAGGTGTCTCTATTAAAAAAAATTCAGGAACTTTTACTCTTACCTCTTAAACAATGTTTTTTTTTATAAATCTCTCTGAATAGGTTTAAATTGTATTGGTTTGATTTTATATGCTAATTCTTCAAAATCATTCATTAAGATTATTGGCGTATCGTGAGCAATTAAAAACAACAGATCATAAAATCTGACATTTATAGGAACATGAAAACCACAAAACAATGATTGCGTATAGTAATAGTTATTTGTGTAACTAGTGGTGAAAGTGGCACTTTGCTGCACACGAGAGCAATGTTTACGCACGAGCCGCAGGCGAGTGTGTAATGATCTCGAGTGCAGCAAAGGCCTTTTTCACTCGTGTTACACATTATATTTTTCCTACAGTCACTATAAAGCATATAAATAATTAGTCTTTCAAACACTATGCAACACGTTTTTAGGTTCAGCTGGCAACACGAATGGTGCCCTAGAGAAAGTAGTACCCGCGGTCCATATCACTCCGCTATTTTTCCTCGGCAAGAAATGTGCTCCGCGTTTTGAGAATATAGTTCCGTATGTTTTTGTAATTTGAAGTGGTTTCCGCGCCTAAAAAAAATGCTTAAAAGGTATTTTCTTGTTTATTAAGATCGAAGGAAGGTTTTAAAAACGTTTAAAAGAAAAGTCCAGAAAGTTCAGAAATACCGAAACTATAAACACGAAATGACAGGTTAAATCGTAGTTATAATAGTCAATCAGCTGCTCATAGTATAATTATCTTTAAGTGTTGCCAATCTATTTCCAAGCGTACACGGATTACGTGCATAATGGAACCACGCTGTTTTGTGTTGTTTCGTTGGAATCCTGATGTGCGGCAAAGTATAAACCGTACGGCAAAGTATAAACCGTACGGCAAAGTATAAATATGCAGCAATTAGCAGCTTTCTGTACTATAAACAGTACAAGGAAGCCAACTTTGTCGGGTGACTGTAGGAAAAAAAATTTTTTGCACCCACAACCTCATTTAGTTGTATAACCACTTATTGATTTATTTTAATCTTTTAAACCAACCTTTCTTTAGTAATATTTAAAAAAAAGTATGAATTCTGCTAAATTATGTCAGTTACATGTTCTATTTGGGAATTAGGTTGGAATTGAGCCAACATATGTATGTCACATATGTTGTGTATTCAGGAAGTCAATAATTTGATTTTATCAGCCAACAGCGTCCTGTCAAACTGATGATTATCATAATGATAAGGTTGGGTCTATGCTATCCTTTATAACTTTAAAACTTTAATACTTTATTCTGAAATGGCGACCATACAAATGAAGGTATTTTAAGCCAAGTGTAACTCAAGAAAAATATAATTCTATTATACTAGTGGCTTGTAGGGACATAAGTCCCTAAAAAGCTCACAAATGTAAAACAAATTATTGTAATATTTAACAAACTCAGAATCAAATTGTCTATGTGTCATTATAGATATCCGAGTACAACCTATCTATTTTTTTAGTGAAAACGGTTTGTTGTTTGTCTTTGTTTGCTTTTGTTGATGTTATTTTCAATAAATAATTTGAATGACTCCAGAGGTTTAACTCTGCTAAAGGCAGCAAACATATTTGTGAATAGCCTAAATATTGGTTTACTAAGGTAGCTTTGGTCTTTTGGTATTAAATTAAGGTCTAAATTTTAGTAGGTACCGGTACTCAAATTTAACTTTCACATTTCTCACTAAGATGAGCTATAAAATGAGATTTATAAACAACTAGCTGTACCTGTGGGCTTTGCCCCGTTTAACTTCACAAGTGAGCTCGTTCGCATGGCTCAATCACGTCCTGGTTGAAGTTCGTTCGCTACGCTCACTCACCTAAGGTTGGAACTCGTTCGCTCCGCTCACTTGCCTTCAGGTTAGCTCGTTCGTTACGCTAACTCGCTTCCAGGTTGAAGTTTGTTCGCTACGCTCACTCACCTTTTGGTTGCAAATTGGCTGTAGTCATAAATTTAAAAAAATAATAGTGCTGCACCCTGTTGGTAATCCTTGTAACTTTAATGCTATTGAACATCATAGAACAGAACCAACTTGTTTAAATGAACCAGCTGTTAAGAAATTCCTTTTAAATATGAAAAATCATAAGGTTAACATGGGAAACTCCAGAGCCACTGGGGCGGAGCCCGAAAGCCCGATCAGAATAAAAACTACTTAGTTTTCCTATTTAATGCCCAAAGAATCGGTGTACCGAATTTCAGCCTCCTAGGTAAATGGGAAGTGGGAGAATTAGTGATGAGTGAGTGAGTGAGTGAGTGAGTGAGTGAGTGAGTGAGTCAGTCAGTGAGGGCTTTGCCTTTTATATATTTAGATACTGTACCAAATTAGAAGAATAATTTATGCTTATAGGTTAATTTAACTGAGACAGTATAGAAAAAATGGAAAAACATCAATGTTTTAGCATTGATAACAGCGATGTTTCTACAATGATGTTATCGGTAGATGGATAGTGAACAACCATGGTTGACCCATCAATGCTCCTCCCTATGAGCTACCCCAGAGTAGGGACACTAGGCACACTAGGCCAACTAAAAAATGATTAAAATATAACATTGTTAAAAAATACATTGATAGTGAGTTATAATAGCCTATAACATTATGCTTCCTACGCTATTACAGCTATAGGCCTAATACTTATTTAGTACTTTTCAATGTTTCATAACTTTGAAACCAGTTGAGTCCACAAAATAAAATTATTACAGCATAATACTCTTACTTAGTACTATATCTGAGCCAAATTTGAAAATTTTATTTTCAAGCCCAACAAAAATATTAAGCATAAAACTTTTGAAATTTTGAAAATTTTTAGATTTTGACAATTTTTATTTAAAACCCTATGCATGTCCAAAACTTGGAACTTTGAGAATTTGGAGTACACACCTATAACTATCAGATAAAAAAATAACAAACACATAGTCAATTGCCTTTATATAAAAAGAAATTGTTTAAAATTGGTATTCGTAACATCGTTGCGTAAAACTTTAAACAGGTAATTAGACCTATATATTTAGTTTTAAGTGCATCAATACATTACCATATTAAAGTTCAGATCTTTCTGAAGAGATTGGTTTTTATTTTAACGTTCTAGGATTAGTAGAACCAGAGATATTTAATTTTACGCAGAGCTCTGAAATCGCTGAAAACGGCCGTTCGAGTAACAAAAAAATGGCCGCCATACAGTACAAAAATAAAATAATTGTATTTTTGTAATTCTAATAATATATACTTTCAAGGATAAAAATATGAAAAAAATTAAAAATCTTGAAGCAACCAATTAATTTATTTTTGGACCACTTGATATGGATTGACCCATTGCATATCTTCATATGAGTAACATCGTGATTTTGTGGCTATTGGCTTACAATCTGGAGTTAAATTGCAGAATAGTTTGGGTGGTTCAACTTTGGCACAGGAGCACACCAACAGAGGAGGTTTCTCACCTCCAAACCAAACCTGTATATTTGAGTGGAGTTTCATGATATCGTGTCCGATAAGCACGTCAGTACAAAGATCTTCAAGAACAGTCAACTTAAAATTGTTGTAATTGTGATTCCACAGATTTAGGTTAATTTTAACAAACCCGTGGACGTTTGATTTCATATTAGAAGCAGCTAGTGATACTTGTATACTTTCATTATACATTTTAATTTTGTTTAACTGAACAAACTTCAAGTTTACAAAGCTTGATGTACTCCCGGTGTCTATTAAGCAATTTGCTTTCAGGCCATTCACTCTAGCTTCAACTGTAGAGTCCTTCAATGCAGATGTATTATGTGTTGTTGCTATTAGTGCAGCTGATGTACTAGACGTCTTCTGTTTTACTTTAAAATGTTGAGTTGGATTACTTTTTTACAGACTCTCGCATAATGCCCTGTCTTGTTACATTTCCCACAATTTGCTTCTCTGGCTGGACAGCGATCTCTAGAGTGTCTGTCATGCCCACAAAAATAACACTTGCCATCAACATTTTTAATAGCGGACACAGTCGCTTCTTCCTTTTTTTGTAGTTGGAATTCGTACTGACAAGCTTGCTTTGCCAATTCATTCGTTGCACAAGTTTGCATTCCGTACATAGATTTTGGATAGCTCTCGACTTGAGCTTGAGCCATTTTAAGAGCTCTAGACTGTTTCACTGCTTCATCTAGGTCTAAAGTTTTATTTTCTAATAGTCTCTGGCGTATGTATGACGAGGCTAAGCCATTGATAAAAGCATCACAAATGTAGTGATCCCTGTACCTATTGAATCGCATTAACAGCTTCAAAAACGCAATCTTGGCTCAAAAGTTTCAGTTTTGACACATATTTGACAATAGTCTCACCTTGTTGCTGTTTTCTAGTCATTACTAAATATCTTGAGAAAGTTCATTCTTTTGTTTGATGTAAATTGAATTAAGAACTCTCGAAGCGTCTTGGTAAGTTTCAATGGACCTATAAAAACTATCTCAAGCCGACAAAAACTCATTTTTGGTCCTAGGTACGACATATTACTATGACAGATGTCTGAAGAGAAAAGTGCCTAGGAGTGAAATATGTTATGTAGGCCTATAAATCCGTCTCTGCCCCAGAGATTTTAGTACCGGTACCAAAGCCAAGCCTAGTTGTTTACCACATACCTTAGCCTTAGCTTAGCCGTTGGCATGTATAAATCAAATAAATAAATACCAGTAGCCTAGGCCTGCCGGGGATCGGTAGCACATTTAAAATTTCAAATATAGGTACTTACTTTTCAAAGCAATATCTGATGACAAAAACAAGTAACGCCATTGGTATTGGGTATAACAGATCTTTATGGTGTGTGTATTCAATTTGATCGCTTGATTGTAGATCCGCCCATGTAATGTTTGGTGGTAACCAAATGTCTGGGTCCCAGAATTTATCAAGTAACGTCTGGATAGAAACCATTATTTGAGGTAAATGATTAAATTCCTATTGAGATAAACACTTTTTAAAGTTTTGGTTAGAACACTTCACGCCACTGTCACCACTATTTGAACAGCAAATGGAACTGCAACTGCAACACAAATAGGCCTACACAAAATAATAATTTTGACATGCCGCTAACTGCTACTGCTAGCTAACTTGACTCAATGGAGATGATGCATTTATTTGCTTGCTTGCTTGGCTTTGCTTTGCACTCAGCTAGCTCAGCAGAGCAGCAGCTCAGGAATTTTTTTTTTCTTTCCCTCTAGTTTGCTCAGCAGTCAGCAGGCTTTGGCCTGACCAGGCAGCCTCGGTGTACACTGAGTTGTGGTTGCTTCGAATTCATCCTGCAATTAAGGTTATTTTGTAAGTTTACAAAGATTTGTTATTGAACATAAATGTGTACAATCAATGATTCATGTTGATATTGTTTTAGTTTTTGTTAATTACCTAATTATGTATTAAAGATAGGACGGTCTAAAAGTTTAAGGGATTCTTTAGTATGGCAGAGTTAATAAAAGAGATGAGTGTTCTGTCCGCCTTGCCAATTAGAAAACGGCCAAGTAAAAGTTTGACTCTGAAATTACTGTAAATAATGTACATAGTTTTTATTTTTTATTATTAACTAATTATAACGTAATCTATCAGACTAGTTATGTCAAAGATGATGAATTCAAGTAAGATGGTGTTTAGCAACATATAGTCATTTCGATGTATGCTGTAATCGATATTTGGCCATTCTAGCAACGGGTATATAAAGTTCAGGATTTACTTTTAATCCCCTCAATATTATTCACATAGTTTCTCAAAGAAAGAGAGAAAACAGAAAATGAAATATTTTACACCCCAGGAAACATGCCTGCTTCGTCCTATCCCCCTTCAGGAATTTTAAATTATGCCCTTAATCCCCTACATATTACCATTGGTACAATATGGATATAACTCTACAAGCAGTAGACTTTGACACATGGAGAAGATATCCAGTTTCCCTGTGAAAAGTCACGTCAGCAAAAAAAAAACTTTTCAGAATGCTGTGTGGAGCTCTTTTATTATAAACCCTTATTCCTGGAGACAGTGAACGTATATTAATATAATATAGTAATATCTTTTGAAAGATGAAATCATCCTGAAACTCTTCATAAGATAACACGAGAAATGGGTTAAGTGCACGACCAAGATGTCTTCTTGGACAACGTTGTGGTACTTTTAAAATACCATAATCCAAATTATTCCATGATAACGATGCGCAAAACCGACTTCAAAACAACACCTGAGGCGTTTATACTCTGTTAAGTCTAGGATCTAGTTTTAAATCCTGCCCTTGGTGAGGATCTAAAATCGTACTGTTTTAAACGAATTTTGCCAAATCTTTGACTCAGCAAGAGACGAGAATCTAAGTTAAGTACTGGACTTATAGATCCTTGACTCGGTAAGTCAAATTTTAAACTCCAGAGTCTAACCAGCGAAATAAACTCCAGAGTCTATTAAGTTCTGGACTTCGCTAACGCCCTGACTCAGCAAGCCATTTTTTAGACTCCAGAGTCTAAAGCCGGTTTAAGTCTAGAACTTAGCTAAATCCCGAGCTCAGCAACCGGCCCTTAGTATTAATACCCCCGCCGCAGCAAACTCAATCAGGCTCAAATTAACCTAAATATTTATTTTTTCTTGATGTTTTTATATGTTGTGCACACAAGTATATACTAATATCTCAAACAATAAAATGTTGCGCAATATGTTTACAACCAAGTTTGATGACATTTTGTACATTCGGAGGTACTTTAGCCTGGAAAATGGTTACAGCATTTGTTATATTGTTTAAATAAGGGTTTTAACGTGTTTAACCAATTTAGCATTTCGGAGTCTATTTTCGTTTTATTAGACTGTACAGAGGATTGGTAGTGGGGGCACGGATTTCTTTCTCCACCCGCCGTTACTACCAGTGTTGCCGTTTTTGGGGATTTTTCGCCAAATTGGGGATTTTTCTAAGCCTTGGGGATTTTTTTGGCGGATTGGGTCTGGTGGAGGATTTTTGGCGGATTATTGGGATGTTATCGAATTTATTGGAGAATTGTTATTTTGAGCCAGGAATAAGATTAATTTAGCTAAAAAAGGATTTCAGACAAATAAAAACCGCGGAATGGCAGAATAGATGATGAAAAAATTTGTTATAAATTGTTCAGACATTTAGTGGGAATACACAACATGACTCGTTTTGTAATATAGACTATTATAAATGTATGATATAAAACTAAGAATGAGGAGTAGAAAGTCAGTGATCAAACAACCTTTAAGGGAGGGGAAATAATTTAAGAAGGAAATCTGAAAACGTTATCAGTCCCAATCCTTTGTACCTATTTTTATATTTTACTGTAGTAGTTACTATACATTTCATATGGAGTGAATAAATGTACGTTAAAAACGAGTGTGGTATGTACGTTAAAATAATATATTATAATCATTGGTACCATTTTACCGGTTGTAGAGTTTGGCGGTTGGATGGAAAAGGAGTTGGTGATTTTCTTTAGATTTTTATGGCTTGGCAGATAATTGGAGGATTTTTGCTTTAGCTGGGGTCCTGGGGATAAAATGGGGATTTTTCATCGTCAGAACATTTAATATGGAGTGAATAAATAATGTTAGTGTAATATATTCACGGAGAGAGTGAATTTTAACCCACACACTATGGCATAGATATGCATGAATTCGGGATATTTGTTAGTTAAATGGGATTTTTGCAGAATTAGGAGAAAGCATGGAGGAAAATTTGAGACTTTCTATAGATTTTTATGACTTGGCGGATTATTGGAGGATTTTTGCTTTAGCTGGGGATAAAATGGGGATTTTTTCTTAGTCAGATGGGGAATTTTCACAGGTCCAGGGTGGCAACACTGATACTACTACTACTGGCGATAGCTGTCGGCTGCTGTCGCTGTCTTCCTTCACGGTCGTGTTTGTGTTGATGTGTTCTGTTAGTTCTAGAGGTAGGCCTAGTGCCTAGTTGTGTACCTAGTGATTTACCCAGGCATTTTATATGAGTGATCTCACAGGCATTTTATATGAACTTTAGAAATGGCTGGGACATTTTTATCAATCTTAAGAAGCCAAAAGCTTTTAATAAGACCTGGTTTGATAAGCCAAGGAGTTCTACTAGGCGCAAATGTGATTGGCGTGTCATATTTTTTAAAGCATTCATTGCTCTTGACATATACCAAGAAATACACTGAACGTGTTGGGTAAGGACAGTTTGCGAAATTGAACTTTATACTTAAGACATAGGCTTACATGGCTCATAATTTAAATTTAAGCCTACCAACTGTTAGTTTCACACATGTTTATGTTTGCAAGTCTTAGGGTTCTGTCCTACCTAACCTAGGCCCTAGTTCTTTTTATACTATGAAATATGCTCTAAGCAATTGTATTGGTAATACTCAGATGTCCTTGATGATTGTGTGGGCTTTTAGTAAATGATTAGAAGTAAGTCAAAGTAACTGGAACTGTCTCGTACACATGACTGCGACAATAAGTTACCACTCCCTACACTTTACCTTCTTAATCTAACCTAACTTCAAAACACTTAATGCAGCCACGAACCCGCATAAACCCCAACCTGCCTAAATAAGATAATTCATCGTTTCAGTTTTTTCAATTCAACCAAACTAAATCCGTAGGCCGTAACACTTCATTTCTTGTTACTAGGTGTGCGATGTGCTCTGCACCTTAAGAAAGTAGTTCCATATATTTCTGCAATTTTCGGTGGTTTCCGTGCCTTAAAAAAACTGTTTAAGTTAAAGGTAGGCTATTTTAACGTTTATTACGATTGTAGGAATGGTTTAGGAAGGTTTAGAAGAAAAGTTCAGAAATACCCTAAGTTTTGGAGCTGGCAGTTCCGCACTGGCACTTTATGAAGGTCGGTGGTGTCAGTGACAGTGCTGCCTGGAACTGTTTGGAACTGGAATTCTCCTCTCCTGGCTTTCACTCACTCAAGTTTTACTCCCTATGCTGTGGCACTGTCTATAAAAGACATCCCCTCTCTTGCCACAATCAAAACCGTTTTAATATTAATATCATCGCCACTACAGTTTTTTAAATAGGCCATTGGAATTTGGATGGCAATTTTAATTTTCAATTTTTGAACAGCTTACCTATATTATTTGCCTCTCCTGAATCATAAAAATAAACTTGACCGCAACTCGATCGTTGAATACATAGGTAAACACTAATTCCTTCACTTATGTTTTGGTCTAATATTGCCAAAGCTAAAACTTTTGATAGCAAATGAGTTTTTGAAACTTCTAATTTTTGACTTGAAATGTCTGGACTGTGTTGATGAATTCAGTCAAAAAACTTTGTATAAGTTTGTCCGAGGAACTGGCAACAAACCTAGAAGTAAACAATCCATTTGCGTTTTTTCTCAATTGAAGTAGAGCGAGTACCTAATACAAAAGTTTACTATAACAACATAAGGTCCGCCAAGATTTGGTATAAGGTCAAGTGGGGTGAGTGTACGCCCGAGGCAAGTGGACTTCCAGCTAATAATAAATTTGTTTATTAATATAAAAAAATTAAAAACTTGGCTAAAGGAATTTCAAACTATGCTCTTTTAAATTATTATCACTAAACAATTCTCTTGTTAACTTATGATTTCTATGAGTTTAGACATGTTTAAGAACCTCTTACGTTTCTACTCAAAACACAAGTGCCACTCTAAAATATAATCTAAAAAAAGTTATTTTGATATAAAACATATACCATAATCTCTGCAATTTCATGCAGATGACAACTGTGTACAAATTGACAATCGAGACACTATGAACATAGATATATATAGCGTATTTTGTGAGCGCAAACACGGAAACGCCATAAGACGTAATGAGTAAGAGAGAGACAGTAAATACGTTAGTGGTAGGGGGAGCGTCGAGCGGCCAGACCGAAAACCCAGCACACAGCGCGCGAACCAGCTGTAATAGTGTTGAAATTGGTCCACAAATAAGGGAGGAGTTGTGTTAACAAAAAATGCCTTCACGTATTATATATATTTCAATTCATTTGTCTTATTTGGTTAAATATATCAAATGGTCAATGCTTTCTCGATTTTTTCCATTGTAATATGTACGCAAACCCAAATTCAAGTAGTAAATTTCAACCAAATCAGCAAACGTTTAAATGTTTATAAAATGCGTTTCCTTCAATTGC